CACAATCAAGCCCAACAGGCCCAGGCGGACCAAGCCCAGCAGGATAGAGCTCTAAGTGGCCCACGATACACGAAGGGGTGCCTTCGGCCCCATGGCCGAAGGCTACCAGTGACGGAATTGGGCTCAGAAACATCACAGGAGAACAAGTCTGGAAAACCATGCCTTCGGCAATTGGAACCCTCGGCACCATGAGGCCCCCGGTACGCAAAGCCTTCAGACTGTCATCTACAGCCGAAGGCTCCCTCCTCGACAGAATCTCCCATCCACATGCGTTGGATCACCGTACCAAGTACAAACGTCGCATCCAACCACCGTATTTAATGCGGCCACATGCGAATGCCAGTGCCACCCCGGTTGAGGTGACCCCTCGACTGCCAGAATGCTGACACGTGTACCTATCTAACATTTATTGCTACTATAAATAGCACCCATTTCCCCCATTGTAAACCACGCTAAATACAACTCAAATACACATTCGAACTCTTTATCTCTCTTATTTACTTGCTCTGACTTCTCTCTAGGTTACTCCCCGCAGTAACCCCTCGGATAAACTACCCTCCCGGGTACACTGTCCATCAATTGGTGCTCTCGTTGAGAGGTCGAACAATCAAGTAAGAAACCCTCCCCTTCAGCTCAAAACACCTATCAAAATGGGAAGAACCACCCGTGCTCAGTCCAAGAACATTGAGAACAACAACCTGGCCCTCAGTGAAGTCAACGCCCCCGGAGCCTCCAACAAGGCTCCCGAGGGCGGGGTCATCACTGAGCTAGAACAGGCTGTTGTTGACCTGCGCCTTCAGCTTCAGCAGAATGCTCCCGATGCTCGTCTTGGCATCGAAACCCGAAGGAGGGACCGGAGCGAGAATCAAGTGAGCCTTCCGGTTCTCACCATTGACTTACAATCGACATTCTCCGCCTTCATCCAAACACTCACTCAAAATCCAGGTGCTTTCGGCACGCTGGTAACACTCCAGCCGCAGGTCGGGGAGAACACCATTCCTCTCCCTCCTCCGCCCCCCCTTCGTGAGCCCTATCCTTCGCCTAGGGAACAACGAGGGGGTCATAGCCCAAGATACCGCATCCCAGGAGGTCCAGTCCCGGGACCAACGCGGTGCGAACAAAGAGGGGCCTCGAACCTCCGCCCTCGAGAGACTCGGAGGGGCGCAAGACCGCTGAGGGGTCCAAGACCGCCTCGGAGGAAAGGCGCTCCAAAGGCCTCAGGAAAGCGGAGGTTCCGTCTCAAGAGCAGACAAAAGGGGTCCCCCTCAGGACAAAGGAAAGACACCACTCCATGCCGATGACGCAAGACATCGAATCAACCAGGCTCACTCGGCCCGTGTTCGTTTGCAGGGGGCGGAGGCCAACGTACCTAAGGTACTCTAAGAGGAAGGGATGCAATGGGAACCGAAGGCCCATCGAGACGGAGAGGATATGCACATCAAAGCACCCCCCAGGCGCCCGATACAGCACGTCGTCAGGCCCCGGTTGTACCACCGTCACCGAAGGCCCTACGTGCAGTTGTGTGACATAGCACTCGGCCGGGTCGGCTCTGGAATTCACCGCCAAGGCAGCAGTATTCAACCACGAATACCCCTCGGGAATCCCAACCGGTTTGCCTTGGTCGGCAGCACCTTTCTTCTTGCGAGCTCCCGCCTTCTTCGTCTTCTTCTTCCCGGGGGCTACCCTGAGAGGTGTCGGGTTCAAGGGCCGGGAGGTGCTGGCTTCACCAACATTGCGTGCAGGGAGGACGTTGACGGTAACCTTCTGTCTCTCTTTCTCCTCCGCTTCCTCGACAGTTTGAGCGGCGAGGGCCAGGTCCTCGTCTTCATTTACTTGTTCAAAGTCCTCAGCCTCGACCTCAGCAACGAGCTCCTTCTGTAACTCCATGGCAACGGCAGAATCACCACCCACCGAAGGCTGCTCACTCGTGGACTCCACGTCTGAGATACTCTCCTCCTCTGCCGAGGGCTCCCTCAATATGTTTTGAGAATCACTTTGCGAAGACATCCTCGAGAACTAGGGGATGAGGGGTTCTAGAAATCGAAGGCTCCCTAAACAACTCTAGCACTTAGCCTAAGGGCGAAAATACGCTAAGGAACTCGAGAACGGGAGGAGCAACTGACCTTGGGAAGTAAGGCTCTAATCGAAGGGTTGTTTCTCTCTCTAGAAAAAATCCGGCAGAGCTTCGCTAACAATGAATCGCATAAGGGGAAAGGCTCAAGCCTTGGGGTATTTATAGGCACCCAAATTCGGGCTTAGGTCCAAAACCGGGCCTCCGGTTACGAAAGTCATCATTACACGCCGCCCCCTTCTGCCAACCGGTGATACCGCCTGAAGCTAGCCAACAGCCACGAGCCACGTGGAAGTCCTCTCTAACGGCTACATTTTACACGTTCCATATTCCAACGGTCCTATTGCAAACGGCTATATTTCGAAAACACAGGGGTGCTCTCGGTCGGTACCCCTCATACAACATCACAAGTGCCTTTGGGCTTTTTCCTTCACGAGCCCACGGCTTAACAACGGGTAAGCCCCTCGGGAACCCTCAGCCCTCAATGCATTGAGGGCCAGGAAAACTCGGGGGAGCACACCTTCATCAACTGTCCCCCCGGCCACGCAATAAGGAGACCCCTCGGGGACATCAAATTTAAAACCCCTCTTAGGTGGACTGCCTTCGACATACAACAACGGGACCCCTCGGGTGCCCTCATCCCCAGCTTATCAACAGCTAGAGAATCCCCCCGACAACACAGCAACTACCACTTACATTCATCACGCCATCAGACAAAGATAGCCCTCGACGTCAATACTGTCATCCATTTCGAACCAAGGTTTCAATTTTTCGATTCATCGTTAGGGGAATTCGGTGCACTCTTTTTCCCTCATTGGAATTTTTTCCCACAGGATTTTTTGTAATGAGGGTTTTAACGAGACATCCCCCCAAAATGAAACGAAAAGCGTCGGCCTTCGGCAACATGATAACAGCGGGCACTACTCTACTCCTCTTCACCACATTACATGTGCCTCAAGGTGTGGGGGACTGGAGAACCCCTCCGGGAACCAGGAAAATCAAAATGCTAAAAAATTATTCTCACAAAGCATCAACACCCTTCAGTCCCAAAATATGGGGGAATGAAGGGCTGCCCTCGCCAGAATCGTGTGCAAACGCAAAACCTCACACAGGTTTACAAACTACAACAAGGCAACATCAGAGAACAAACGCATTTTACTCCTTTTCCCTCAAGTACCTTTCGGCAAAAGGAGTGAGGGACTCCTGATGGAGTATATGGCCCAGGAACCCCCGACCCATAGACTCCCACTACTATAGCGAAGGCCCAATAGGCCCAGGAAGCACAGCAAGCCCAAATCACAGCGCCCCAAGTGCCAAACATCCCGCGACGAACGCGTGGGTGCCTTCGCCCCCCATGACCGAAGGCTTATAAACTCGCAGAACAGCTGTTTTAGGCAAACGAAGGTAATGGGAGAAAACGGCGTAAAAGAGTAGCCCTCGGTACCTAGATCCCTCGGCACACAGAGGCCCCCGGTATGAAGAGCCTTCGGCCGATCATCTACGGCCGAAGGCATCTCCTCGACAGAATCTCCCACCCACATGCACCGGATCAACGTACCGAGTACAAACGTCACATCCAACCAACGCATTTAATGCGGCCACATGTGAGTGCCAGTGCCACCCCGTTGAGGTGACCCCTTGACCACCAGAATGATGACACGTGTCTCTATCTGGCATTTATTACTACTATAAATAGCACCCCTTTTCCCCATTTGTAATCCATGCTCAATACGCTCAACACATTCTCAGCAATATATATTCTCTCTCTTACTTCTGCTTTGACTTCTCTCTAGATACTCCCCGCAGTAACCCCTCGGATAGATACCCCCGAGTACACTTATCCATCTAATGTGAATTGACTGAAATAAACAACCTACCAAGATTTCAGACTGTGCACATCAGAATTGATGAATAAAAGATTTCGCCCAGTTAAAACTCCATATTAAAGATCTTTGAATTTAATGAGACAATCTCACCTTTTGTTTGAAGTCACATCAATAAAAAAGTCGGCATTAATTGCTACAGACGGCCAACACATAACTAAACCAGCTTGCAAATACCCGACCCATATATGACCCGTGACTTTAGGCGGGAAATTTGCTTGCATTTCCACTTAGCTTTGTATATTGTATCGATTCTTTCAATATGTTCCGAACTGAACTGAACCGAAACCGATAAAACCCAACCTAAAATCGATATGTCCACCCTATCGGAAACGATGGAACAACTACAACAACAATAGGACTAATATTAATAACCATAACACCAACAAGGCAACAACAACCATAATAAAAAACATTAACTTTCAAGCTTGGGGGAAAGATGGAACTAATAGAATCCTACTATATACAAACGGACCCAAACATTAAGAGGCCGTTTGGCAATACTTTTTTCGACTTATGAGGCTTATCAATCAACTTTTTCACCAAACACGTAGCTTTTTCTTTCGGCGCTGAATTTTGTAATAAGCAGAAAAAGTAAGATTGAAGTTACTTTTCTGACTGTATTGGTTGAAGTTACTGTAGATGACCATTTTAGCTATTTTTACATATAATTTTTTTTTAATTTTATTAATAAAATATATTTTATAATTATTTTTTTCTTAAATCAGCAGAATCATGCAATGCAGTCACTTGACCACTTCAGCCAGAATTTCACAAATTTCAGCAGAATCAGCCAAATCAGTCGGTGCAATCAAATGGGCTCTAAAATGTAAAAGCATTCGGATATCAAAATGAGATTAAAAAAAATTGGATAAAATGGGTCTAACCTGGTCAAGGTAATCAGTCTAGGATAGTGTGGTGCAGTGGTGCTTTGGAATTTGAAAAAAAAAATTACTCCGTATGTCATTTCACATCTGCTATCTTTGTCATCTGAAAAGTGAAGAAAGGGAAGATCGTGATTTAAGTTCAGCTCTATACCCGTAAACTCCTCTCTCATGGGTCTTGAGAGCGGGACATAAGATTGCCGAGTGGCAAAGGAAGGGATCAGAAGCTGTGCAGCAGGCGAGCGGGAGTGTCGGACTGTGGGCGCCGCCGCTATCAACAGTTCAGCTGGGCCGTCAGGGAGAGTAGCCGGGCCGCCAGGCTGACGCAGGCGGCAGATGGCACGATGCGACACAGTGGCGGTGGACAGCAAGGGATGGCCAACAAGGCGACTGGCGGACTGGTGGCGTCTCTGCGGCTTGCGGACTTCACAAAGAATTTTTACATTCTGGAATCAGCGTACAAGTGAATCTAAAATTCTGCAGGTCAGGAGTTTTACATTTGGCTATACCTCTTAATTTGACAGTGAATTTTTTTATTCCGTGTAAAGGCTTTTCTGTGCGCACCAATAAGCGTTGGATCTGCAGCAACAAGAATATTATATTTCAACATCCTGGTGTGATGTATCATAAAAGCTGTGATTTTTATTTATGTTCTGAAAATAAAGATTGAGGTTGTTCTTTCCTTTCCTTTTATTTTATTTTATGTTTCTTTGATGAATGTTATATTTCTATCATGAAGATGGATGTCATGAAGTTGCAGCAGAATGATAAAGGTGAGTAAACATTATACTGAGCTAGATATACTTGAAAACTTTGTAAGGAATTCTCTTACATATTATGATACTACAGACTTTTATTTTCTGAAAGTATCATATTCTTTGAATAGTGTATATAACACCTAACAATTTTCAGCGCAAATGAATTTATTTGGCTCAATGATGCCATGAGGCCCCCGGTACGCAGAGCCTTCGGACTGTCATCTACAGCCGAAGGCTCCCTCCTCGACAGAATCTCCCATCCACATGTGCTGGATCACCGTACCAAGTACAAACGTCGCATCCAACCACCGCATTTAATGTGGCCACATGCGAATGCCAATGCCACCCCGGTTGAGTTGACCCCTCGACCGCCAGAATGCTGACACGTGTCCCTATCTAACATTTATTGCTACTATAAATAGCACCCATTTCCCCCATTGTAAACCACGCTAAATACAACTCAAATACACATTTGAACTCTTTATCTCTCTTATTTACATGCTCTGACTTCTCTCTAGGTTACTCCCTGCAGTAACCCCTCGGATAAACTACCCCCCGGGTACACTGTCCATCAATTGGTGCTCTCGTTGGGAGGTCGAACAATCAAGTAAGAAACCCTCCCCTTCTACTCAAAACACCTATCAAAATGGGAAGAACCACCTGTGCTCAGTCCAAGAACATTGAGGACAAACAACGTGGCCCTCAGTGAAGTCAACGCCCCCAGAGCCTCCAACAAGGCTCCCGAGGGTGGGGTCATCACTGAGCTGGAACAGGCTGCTGTTGACCTGCGCCTTCAGCTTTAGCAGAATGCTCCCGATGTCCGTCTTGGCATCGAAACCCGAAGGAGGGACCGGAACGAGAATCAAGTGAGCCCTCCGGTTCTCACCATTGACGTACAATCGACATTCTCCGCCTTCATCCCAACACTCACTCAAAATCCAGGTGCCTTCGGCACGCTGGTAACACTCCAGCCGCATGTCGGGGAGAACGCCATTCCTCCCCCTCCTCCGCCGCCTTCATGAGCCCTATCCTTCGCCTAGGGAACAACGAGTGGGTCATAGACCAAGATACCACATCCCAGGAGGTCCAATCTCGGGACCAACGTGGTGCGAACAAAGAGGGGCCTCGAACCTCTGCCCTCGAGAGACTCGGAGGGGCGCAAGACCGCCGAGGGGGTCCAAGACCGCCTCGGAGGAAAGGTGCTCCAAAGGCCTCAGGAAAGCGGAGGTTCCGTCTCAAGAGCAGACAAAAGGCGTCCCCCTCAGGACAAAGGAAAGGCATCACTCCATGCCGACGACGCAAGACATCGAATCAACCAGGCTCACTCGGCCCGTGTTTGTTTGCAGGGGGCGGAGGCCCTCCCGAAGGATCACAGGGACGAAACCATTGAAGCCCTCCAACGCCGCCTTGATGAGATGGAGGCCCGTTAAGTGCACACAACCGCTTCCGCCTCCAAGACGGACCCCAAATACACCGCCATACTTGCCAAAATGGAGGAGATGCAAAAGAAAATAGCTGAGGGCTCCGGGGAACCCATCATCCAACTTCGGACTAGGACGCCATTTACCCCAAGGGTATTGGCGGCCCAGATTCCGGGAAAGAACCGAGGGCAACTCATCAAGCCCTACGACGGGAAGACTGACCCCCAGGAGCATTACAGCAGATATAAGAACAGGATGATGATGATGATGGTGGGGGCATCGGACGAATATTTGTGCCGTTGGTTCCTCTCCACCGTAGAGGGACCAGCCTACGAATGGTTCAACCGATTGCCCGAAGGCTGCATCGATTCATGGCAGGAACTCACCCAACGTTTCTTGACACAGTTTGCAGGGAGGCGCCGGTCAAGAAAACACTTCTCCCACTTGGTGACGGTGAGACAAAGAAAGGAGGAGACCCTTCGGGACTTCTTGGAACGCTGGAGGACGGAGGCAGATAAAGTTAACGGCGCTGACGATGGGACCCTCGTGACCCTCCTGGACCTCCTTCAAACAGTCCTCCTTGACCGTCACATGTTTATCCCGCCCCGCTGGGACAACAGATATCTTTTTCCCCTCTTTCTCAAGAGCCGCGCAACCCTCCGGCTTTATGTGCCTCCGGAAGTAATTCCTCAGCTCCCTCAGGAATGGGTTCTCCGCCATCCTGATGTAGCAAAAGCGGTCTTTCCAGCCCTGGTGAGACGAGGGCACGTCATCGAAGAGCCTCCACGGGGCGAGTTGTTGCAGGTTCGCGAACCCCTCGGAATTCGCATGCCCCCCCGACAGAGATTGAAGCTTTGAAAAAATAACTCCAGGCTGGGAGTGCCCCCAGGACTTACAGAGATTCAGAAACCCGGCAATATAGGAGTGGCTATTCGGAGTAAGTTGGCAGGGGGCCAGGCCAACGTACCTAAGGTACTCTAAGAGGAAGGGATGCAATGGGAACCGAAGGCCCATCGAGACGGATAGGATATGCACATCAAAGCACCCCCCAGGCGCCCGATACAGCACGTCGTCAGGCCCCGGTTGTACCACCGTCACCGAAAGCCCTACGTGCAGTTGTGTGACATAGCACTCGGCCGGGTCGGCTCTGGAATTCACCGCCAAGGCAGCAGTATTCAACCACGAATACCCCTCGGGAATCCCAACCGGTTTGCCTTGGTCGGCAGCACCTTTCTTCTTGGGAGCTCCCGCCTTCTTCGTCTTCTTCTTCCCGGGGGCTACCCTGAGAGGTGTCGGGTTCAAGGGCCGGGAGGTGCTGGCTTCACCAACATTGCGTGCAGGGAGGACGTCGACGGTAACCTCCTGCCTCTCTTTCTCCTCCGCTTCCTCGGCAGTTTGAACGGCGAGGGCCAGGTCCTCGTCTTCATTTACTTGTTCAAAGTCCTCAGCCTCGACCTCAGCAACGAGCTCCTTCTGTAACTCCATGGCAACGGCAGAATCACCACCCACCGAAGGCTGCTCACTCGCGGACTCAACGTCTGAGATACTCTCCTCCTCTGCCGAGGGCTCCCTCAATATGTTTTGAGAATCACTTTGCGAAGACATCCTCGAGAACTAGGGGATGAGGGGTTCTAGAAATCGAAGGCTCCCTAAACAACTCTAGCACTTAGCCTAAGGGCGAAAATACGCTAAGGAACTCGAGAACGGGAGGAGCAACTGACCTTGGGAAGTAAGGCTCTAATCGAAGGGTTGTTTCTCTCTCTAGAAAAAATCCGGCAGAGCTTCGCTAACAATGAATCGCATAAGGGGAAAGGCTCAAGCCTTGGGGTATTTATAGGCACCCAAAATCGGGCTTAGGTCCAAAACCGGGCCTCCGGTTACGAAAGTCATCATTACACGCCGCCCCCTTCTGCCAACCGGTGATACCGCCCGAAGCTAGCCAACAACCACGAGCCACGTGGAAGTCCTCTCTAACGGCTACATTTTACACGTTCCATATTCCAACGGTCCTATTGCAAACGGCTATATTTCGAAAACACAGGGGTGCTCTCGGTCGGTACCCCTCATACAACATCACAAGTGCCTTTGGGCTTTTTCCTTCACGAGCCCACGGCTTAACAACGGGTAAGCCCCTCGGGAACCCTCAGCCCTCAATGCATTGAGGGCCAGGAAAACTCGGGGGAGCACACCTTCATCAACTGTCCCCCCGACCACGCAATAAGGAGACCCCTCGGGGACATCAAATTTAAAACCCCTCTTAGGTGGACTGCCTTCGACATACAACAACGGGACCCCTCGGGTGCCCTCATCCCCAGCTTATCAACAACTAGAGAATCCCCCCGACAACACAGCAACTACCACTTACATTCATCACGCCATCAGACAAAGATAGCCCTCGACGTCAATACTGTCATCCATTTCGAACCAAGGTTTCAATTTTTCGATTCATCGTTAGGGGAATTCGGTGCACTCTTTTTCCCTCATTGGAATTTTTTCCCACAGAGTTTTTTGTAATGAGGGTTTTAACGAGACATCCCCCCAAAATGAAACGAAAAGCGTCGGCCTTCGGCAACATGATAACAGCGGGCACTACTCTACTCCTCTTCACCACATTACATGTGCCTCAAGGTGTGGGGGACTGGAGAACCCCTCCGGGAACCAGGAAAATCAAAATGCTAAAAAATTATTCTCACAAAGCATCAACACCCTTCAGTCCCAAAATATGGGGGAATGAAGGGCTGCCCTCGCCAGAATCGTGTGCAAACGCAAAACCTCACACAGGTTTACAAACTACAACAAGGCAGCATCAGAGAACAAACGCATTTTACTCCTTTTCCCTCAAGTACCTTTCGGCAAAAGGAGTGAGGGACTCCTGATGGAGTATATGGCCCAGGAACCCCCGATCCATAGACTCCCACTACTATAGCGAAGGCCCAATAGGCCCAGGAAGCACAACAAGCCCAAATCACAGCGCCCCAAGTGCCAAACATCTCGCGACGAACGCGTGGGTGCCTTCGCCCCCATGACAGAAGGCTTATAAACTCGCAGAACAACTGTTTTAGGCAAACGAAGGTACTGGGAGAAAACGGCGTAAAAGAGTAGCCCTCGGTACCTAGATCCCTCGGCACACAGAGGCCCCCGGTATGAAGAGCCTTCGGCCGATCATCTACGGCCGAAGGCATCTCCTCGACAGAATCTCCCACCCACATGCACCGGATCAACGTACCGAGTACAAACGTCACATCCAACCAACGTATTTAATGCGGCCACATGCGAGTGCCAGTGCCACCCCGTTGAGGTGACCCCTTGACCACCAGAATGATGACACGTGTCCCTATCTGGCATTTATTACTACTATAAATAGCACCCCTTTTCCCCATTTGTAATCCATGCTCAATACGCTCAACACATTCTCAGCAATATATATTCTCTCTCTTACTTCTGCTTTGACTTCTCTCTAGATACTCCCCGCAGTAACCCCTCGGATAGATACCCCCCCCCCCCCCCCCCCCGAGTACACTTATCCATCTAATGTGAATTGACTGAAATAAACAACCTACCAAGATTTCAGACTGTGCACATCAGAATTGATGAATAAAAGATTTCGCCCAGTTAAAACTCCATATTAAAGATCTTTGAATTTAATGAGACAATCTCACCTTTTGTTTGAAGTCACATCAATAAAAAAGTCGGCATTAATTGCTACAGACGGCCAACACATAACTAAACCAGCTTGCAAAGTACCCGACCCATATATGACCCGTGACTTTAGGCGGGAAATTTGCTTGCATTTCCACTTAGCTTTGTATATTGTATAGATTCTTTCAATATGTTCCGAACTGAACTGAACCGAAACCGATAAAACCCAACCTAAAATCGATATGTCCACCCTATCGGAAATGATGGAACAACTACAACAACAATAGGACTAATATTAATAACCATAACACCAACAAGGCAACAACAACCATAATAAAAAACATTAACTTTCAAGCTTGCAGGAAAGATGGAACTAATAGAATCCTACTATATACAAACGGACCCAAACATTAAGAGGCCGCTTGGCAATACTTTTTTCGGCTTATGAGGCTTATCAATCAACTTTTTCACCAAACACGTAGCTTTTTCTTTCGGCGCTGAATTTTGTAATAAGCAGAAAAAGTAAGATTGAAGTTACTTTTCTGACTGTATTGGTTGAAGTTACTGTAGATGACCATTTTAGCTATTTTTACATATAATTTTTTCTTTATTTTATTAATAAAATATATTTTATAATTATTTTTTTCTTAAATCAGCAGAATCATGCAATGCAGTCACTTGACCACTTCAGCCAGAATTTCACAAATTTCAGCAGAATCAGCCAAATCAGTCGGTGCAATCAAATGGGCTCTAAAATGTAAAAGCATTCGGATATCAAAATGAGATTAAAAAAAATTGGATAAAATGGGTCTAACCTGGTCAAGGTAATCAGTCTAGGATAGTGTGGTGCAGTGGTGCTTTGGAATTTGAAAAAATAAATTACTCCGTATTATAAGTATGGAAGAATTTATTTTGTTTTAGTTTGTTTGGTTAAGCTTTTAAGTTAACCCATGCTGGATGCTTCGATCAAGAAACTGGCTGACCAATTAATAAAGTTTCCAGAAGCAGTTCTCCTGGCGGAAGAACTCCTGGAATCTCTGAAGGATGCTGTTCCGTTAAGACTCCCCCCATATCTCCACTATCTTGAAAGGCATAGATCTGCAGCACTAGGATTTTGGTTTGCTCCTGTCATCATCCTGCACCTAATTAAGGAATTGAAAGAGGTATTTCTGGTTTCTTCATGTTTATTTCTGCTAAAAAACCACTCTATAATTGATTAGCATCCTTAACTAACCCTTCATTTAACAGTCCACTGCACTATTCAACACTCTTAACAAGTACTCCCTCCGTTCCGCAATTAAGTTACCACTTTTCTTTTTGGGCAGTCCCTAAATTAAGTTCACACTTTCTTACTTTCCTTATTTGGCAAATTATCTACATCAAAACAGTGTCAAACAGTGCAAAACAGTGTCAAACAGTGTTGGAACAGTGCAAAATAGTGCACTCCACAGTAAAGTCAAATTTATTTTCTTAATATGTGTGAAGTCAAACCGGGAAGTTAATTGGGAGACTGAGGGAGTATATAAAGGGAGCACATCTTTTACGATGTCAGGAACGAATGACTCGTATACAAAAAGATCCCTTGCTGGGAATCTGGGATTGATTCTTGAGAGCGATAATGTTATTAAGATAAGGTTTGTATATGCCACCCCTGCCCGCCAAGAAATGCATGATTTATCATGTTGTGGATTTATTGATGCTCTCTCTAAGATAGGATGAAATGTGATTGGTAATTGATAGTTTGTTAGGTTATGTTTCAAGTTTCATATGTCGGTTTGTTGACCAAACTTGTATTAGATCAGTCCCCAAAAAATCACGTTTGACCAATGTGTTTATTGTACTTTTCGTGTCATACAAGTGTACAACTCTCATAAATCATGAACCATGTTTATTTCTTTCAAATCTATTTGTTGGATCAAGTATCCTTAACCTATTGTGTGCGCCTTTTTTCACATTTTTGGCGAATTACAAGAAAAAATGTATGGAGTATTTGTTTGGTTAAAGTTGATTCTTCTTTGGAGACAAAAAGTTCTTGAACCATGACTCTTGTTTACTGGACATGAGAGAGTAGTGGATATGCAAATGACAGAAGATCTGACAAAATTGTTTTTATGCTCTAGCCCACTGTTTTAGTGTATTACATGAAATGGATGTATAGACCCTCTAGCCTTGGCATGTCTTTGCTTTTGAAACACATGTGAGAACATTTATATACATACATTAATTGGTCTTCTTTCTCAATTCTGAATTGCACATTGGTGTTGCAGCAACGTTTTCTCCATTAAGACAATTATCATCATTAGTTTCATTACTGATATGTACTTTATGTTTTCGTTTTTTAGGGGAGCCTTGAGTATTTTATTCGGATACTGGAGTGATAGTGACGTATCTATGCTGGTTCCAATGTTAATTTCTCTAAAAAATAGAAACGAGGCATTTGGTGATGTTGACTTAATGGAAGAGAATGTTGAATATCTATATTATTTTATTCGGATACTGGAGTGATAGTGACGTATCTATGCTGGTTCCAATGTTAATTTCTCTAAAAAATAGTAACGAGGCATTTGGTGATGTTGACTTAATGTGGAGGTACTGTTCTAGTACATGTTTTGTGACAATTTTGAAATGCCGAAGCAAACATTTGATGCTTTAGAACTCCACTACCCCTCTCAAAATATTTCATTTTGGTTACCTAGAAGTTTCGTCTCTGAACTGTTTGAGTTAAAAATATTTTTTCTTTTTGATGACCAGGATTTGAAGAATGTGCTAGCTGATAACTACTTTGAAGATTCGGTGGAGTATACAGATCTATTTGTAAAGGTAAATTATACGCAATCATGGCTTCATTATTTTGGCACATTATATTTCTATGAAATACCATATCAATTAACAACAAAGAACTATCTGTAATCAACAAGAGTCCGAAATCTGTCAAAAAGGACATCAACTCCAAAATAGGCAGCTTGTTGTTATCTCTGAAATGGTCTCACTCACTAGAGAAGAGGATCACTGCCTTCTGTGTGCTTCTCCCGGGTGATTACCCCTGTTGCTTTGACATCTTTTTGAGTAATATGGCAGTTACAAACCAACCAAAGAAAACAAAACTCCTGCCCTTCAATTTCTCCAAAAAGGAGCCAAACAAGCTAGTACCCACGTGATATTCATTAGTGGGCCAATAAAGAGACAAATCCAAAAATGAACCCATACGGCCACTATACTTTGGAATATAACCAACTAGCTCCTTTCCACATATATTTATATTTTTAATATAAATGTAATTTAAAAATAGTGAAGAAAAAATTGTTGGCCGGACCCATACTTTACAGGATTATGATTGACAGGTGTAAACTTATGAGAAACAAATGTGCCTATATTTGTCCACGTGTGTGGATGGATAAACAATGACCGTCCTGTTTATTTATTTTATTTATTTAAAGGCATCAATGCATCATAAAATGATGACCACCCGCAAGAGAAAAGGGTGTTCCATGCACGGAGCGGCGATAAACAGAGGGTAATCGAAGGGACTAGGATTGTGGAGGCGGATGCAATAACAAGTGTGTTCGCTTCAAAGGTATTTGCTTCATAATAAAATCATAATAGCAATACTGTGTAGTGAGTATCATTATCAAATCAAATGATAAAAACTCTTTCCTTTTGGAGATGTTTTCGCCAGAACGATGGTTAATTGCTTTTTTCGTTAATTGGGATTGTTTCAGCTTCTTCCAAAAATCCCAACGTATAGTTTACTGTACATACTAAAGCTAGATAGATCCGTACACATATCAAACCTCGAGTGTTTTACAATATCCTGAGATTTGGTTCAGCACATTTACTAACAAACAAACAAAACTCTTTTCATTCTCCAATTGCGTGTAAGGCCAACAATGATGGTTGCCTTATGAATAAATCCAACAATTTTTTTACATTGACCAGTATAGTAGCAGGAGAATCTTGAAGCAAGCCATATGATGTTGGTTCATCTCCAATTGTAAGCAAATCATCCCCATTTTCATATATCTTTCTTTTCTCCCTTCAGAGCTTTAAGGAAAACACTTGTACAAAGCTTTAGCCTGTGGACTCGAATCTTCTTTTCCTCTAGAAGCACAAAGAACAACAATTACAGTATAAGAGGAAGGAATCAATTGCTATTGTCAATTTATTTACCTGGAGCTGCATAATACTCTAAGCCATTACGAAACAACCCCATCAAAACCATGCATGAAACATATATACATATTTATAGAGTAGTAAAAACATAAAACTAATTCCAACAAAATTACCTGATCTATTTCAACCTTGAGCTTTCACCTGTTATAAAAAATTATATAAATTAATTTATGATGCTTAGTAAAATATAATACGAATTAGTTGTAATTACAAAAATATATACCTCGATATCTTGTCGTTTTTTGACCTCCTTCCTTTTTTGGATTTGATTTCCCCCTAGAACTTCTTTCGTCATCGGTCTCAGACCGTTCCTGCTTAATGATCCCAACATACTCTTGTACGTCTCCAATTGTAGCAAACAACATATTTTCTGCTCCAACTTTTATGTTGTAATTCGCACTTTTAAATTCAAACTATCTCTTACTCCTGATATGCTTCCCTCTTTGCTATTTTGAATAATAATCCGACATTTTGTTCCATTTATCGACCACAGTATCCATCCAAAACTTATCACGGTCTGTTAGAACCATGTTAATACCTCAGAAACACCCCCACTTTCCTCCAATTGTGTATAATGTGCTCTCTAATCGAATTTGATCTCGTTGCTTCGCAAAAAATCATTATGATTATGATGAGACTGGCTGCTATCTTTTTTCGATGCATACTTAAATCTACATTCATTTTTAGCATTGATAAAAAAACTATCAAGTTGATAACATCATTCTTTGCTTTTGGAATCTCATCCAGTGAAGCAATATTGGATGCACTTAGTAAACTCCTGTGAGAAATCGTTATTGGCAGTGCACTAGAATCACCTATGTCAATTTGGCTCTCTCCTAGGTTAAACCAATCCCTAGCACTATTTCTAATACCAATCAAGTAGATGTCGTGATAAACTTACCCATACAATTGTATTCTCTTGTATTCTGTTCACAAGAAAAGTTCACATGTATTTATTTTCATTTTTTTTTTCATTTGCAAGAGGTTTAAGGAGTACATTTATATTGACAATTCTCCTTCCAACCTCTAAGATATCTCGCCAATCAGTTACAAAAGCACCACAACCTTCTGTAGCACGGGAAACATCAAAAGTAGACTCTTGCTCAAAAGAATTTGGATTATTGAGATTCTGCGAATAATCTCATTTCAATTTAAACTAAATCAGTGCACTAACAACATTAAACTTTCACCAATTACCTTATTGTGAATACATTTTATATGTGTGGGCAACACTTTGAAATACACGTATATATAGTGGAAAACCGTACGATTCAGTTGAGTCCTTTGCCTTTAGGTCCAACAAAAAAAAATTTCAAAATTCGGGTCCAAAAGTCATAAAAAAGGTCAAACATGACATTTTGGGGCTGAGGAGAGTGGGAGAGGGTTTGGTATACTTTCTAATAAATTACAAAAGTCTAACAAATATTACTACACAAAGTTTCATACCAATTAAAAACTGCATGAATGAATGATTTTCCTAAGAGCATAATAAATTAGAATAAAATCCTGAAAGTTGGAAGGAACACTTTCCTTATTTCTTGAAAGTGTGGAACAATTCAAAATTATATATGAACAAACACACACATATAGGCAGGCACGTACTAAATTACTAATCAATATACCTCTTGTTTATGATCCATTTTCTTGGTCAACAGATGTAACATGTCAGACAATATAATGTAAAAAAAAGAATGCTGATTAAACATGCTTCAAATTGAATAAATTTGTTTTTATTTATAAAAACTATACAACTTGTACTCCAGGCTTTGACAAGAAAACTAATAACAGTGTAGGCAAAATACTAGGTTTGTACTTTGTAGTGAATATTTTAACCATCTGATGCACGTTTTATTAGTAAACTAATGTTGAGTAACTCTGTCTCTGTTTTCATGTTATAGGAAAATGCTTTGTAGTGAATATTTTAACCATTTGATTCTACTGATTTATGAAAAAATTATATTTAAAATACTTGTTGTTAATAAATACAATAAAAAAATATATGAAAAAGGAGCTAAAATGATACTTTACAGTAACTTCAGCCAATACAGCCAGAAAAGTAACTTCAACTTTACTTTTTCTTATTATTACGCAATTCAGCACTGATTTAGTTTATGATCCAATCACGAAAAGGTAATTGGAATGAGATTATTTGCAGAATCTCAATGATCAAAAATTCTTTTAAGCAAGAGTCTACTTTTGATACCACCCGTGCTACAGAAGGTTATGATGCTTTTGTAACTGGTTGGCGAGATACCTTAGGGGTTGGAAGGAGAATTGTCAATATAAATGTACTTTCTAAACCTCCTGCAAATTAAAAAAAATGCAAATACATACATGTGAACTTTTCTTGTGAACAAAATGCAAGATAATACAATTGTGTGGGTAAGTTTTAATACTACGACCGGTACTTGATCGGTATTAAGAATAGTGTTGGGGATTGGTTTAGCCTAGGAGAAAACCAAGTTGACACAGGTGACTCACTGCACTACCAATAACGGTTTCTCATAAAAGTTTACTAAGTGCATTCAAAATTGCTTCATTGGATGAGGTTCCAAAAGCAGAGAATGATGTTATCAACGCGATAGTTTTTTTAATCAAAACTAAAAACGAATGTAGATTTAAGTATGCATCGAAAAAAGATAGTAGCCAGTCTCATCATAATCATCATGGTTTTTGCAAAGCAACCGGATCAAATTCAATTAGAGGACATATTATGCACAATTAAGAGGAAAATGGGGCTGTTTCGGAGGTATTTAAAGACATGGGTTCTAAGTGACCGTGATAAGCTTTGGATGGATACTTTGGTCGATAAATGAAACAAAATATCAGAGATTCTTATTCAAAATAGTAAAGAGTGGAGCATACCAGGAGTAAGAGAGTTTGAATTTAAAAGTGCTATGTTACAACATAAAAGTTGGAGCAGAAAATAGGTTGCTTGCTACAGTTGGAGACGTACAAGGGGAAATTGGGATCATTAAGCTGGAACGGTTCGAGGCCGATAAAAAAGCAGTTCTAGAGGGAAATCAAATAAAAAAAAGAGATAAAAAAACTGCAAGATATTAAGGTATATATTTTTCAAATTTTGTAATTACAACCACTTCGTATTATATTTTACTAAGCACCGTAAACTAATTTCTATCATTTTTTAATAGGTAAAAACTCAAGGGTGAAATAGATCGGGTAGTTTTTCTAGGAATTAGTTGTGTTTTTCCTCTACAGTAATGTATATATGTTTCATGCATGGTTTTGATGGGGTTGTTTCGTAATGACTTAGAATATTTTGCAGCTCCAGTTGACTAAATTGGCAATAGTCATTGATTCCTTCCTCTTATACTGTAATTGTTTTTTGTGCTCTAGAGGAAAAAAAGATTTGAGTCCACATGCTGAAGCTTTGGCTTACAATAAATCGTTCTGGCGAAAACATGTCCAAAAAGAAAGAGTTTTTATCTTTTGATAATGATACTAACTTCACACTATTGCTATTATGATCTTATTATGAAGCAAATACCTTTGAAGTTTCACCCAGAAGCGAACACACTTGTTATTGCATCAACCTGCACAATCCCAGCCCCTTCGATTACCCGATGCTTATCGTCGTTCTCCGCAAGGAACGACCCTTTTTTCTTGTGGGTGGTCATCATTGTATGATGCCTTTAAATATATAAAGCATGCGGGTCATTGTTTATCCATCCACAAATGTAGGCACATTTGTTCCAACTTCAGGAGTTTGTAGGCAAAAATCATAAGGCACAAAATGCTAATTCATAGTGGGTCTACAAAAAATAACTTTAGTTGAACCAATTTTATTTTTCCTATAACCAAAGTGTCGAAGAAATTGACTCTCTCCTACCGGTAGGAAAAGGGGCTACAAGGGTAAAATAAATCTTGCTGCTGACTGTACCGTGCGCACAGTTCGGGCTTTTTGTTCGTTGTGTACTGCGCGTTGTCCCTCGGATCTCCGCCTTCACCTTGAATCTCGTCTCTTCCTTGCCGATGACCTTCGCTCGTCTCTTGGATCTGCGCTAGGCATGGACTCGGGCCGGGCCTAGGCCCGGTCAGACCGCCGGTTTGTAACTCATGGCCCCGGGACCGGCCCGAGGTTTGGACGGGTCCGGTTCAGGCCGGGCCACCCGCCCGGGTCACGGGTCGGGTCACCCGCCAGACCGGGCCGGTTAAAACCAATTTTTTTTATAATTTATACTTTATAGTTTTATACAAGTATTAAAAACAAACTTCAAGTGCATTTATTTGAAATGAAATAGGAACTACATTTAAAAATTAAGAGAAACATATAATATGAAATACATTTTGTAAATTGTAATCAATCGGAACTTCCCGCACCTCCCGATCCTTTGGTTTTGTCACATGACCTAATATGCTTCATTGACATCCCGTATCTGCCTGGAACTCCCATGCTACACTTTTTCCCGCATCATTTGCAAGTTGCGTATCACATCCCGATCCTCGGGTCCTGCTTATCAAAATTATACCGTATAACGGTATATTGACTTTCCATCTTAAAAATGGTAGATATAATAATTCTACAATAGATGGAGATGAAGATGGAGAATGGAGATTAGAGATTGGATGTTGGAGAAGATGTGTATAAAAATGTTAGAAAATAAGAGTATTTATAGAATTTTTTGTACAATAGAGTTTGGGTTGTCCCCAGCCCACCCCAACGGTCATCTTTGGCCCAAAAGATTTTTTTTTTAAATATAGCCGTCGTGACCCGGACCCGGGCTTGACCCGGCCGGGCTGGGTCACATTTTGCATGAACCGAGCCCGCCCTCGCTTCCCCCACTGGTTCGGGTTCACACTCGGTCCCGGACCGCCAGTCCGGGCCGGTCCAGGGCCCGCACAGTAGTGGGACGGGCTGGGTCACGGGCCGGGTGGCCTGAACCGAGTCCATCCCTAATCTGCGCACGACGATGGAGGCTATGGATGGGTTGCGCAGATGCAGTGAAGATTGCTTCGCTCTGGAGGCTATGGATGGATGGATTGCGTAGATGCAGCGAAGATAGGTTTTGCGCGCTCTGTTCCCTCTTTCCTTTCCTCTTTCTATTTCTCTTACACTTATTTTTGAGTTTGGTAGCTTTTGGGTTAGGGGAAACCTAAGTTGTACGTGGTTTTAAAGATATGAGCATACATAAATAAAATTTTGAGTATGGTAGAGATTTTAAATGGGTCTAAAAGAAATGAGTATACGCCTAAAAGAAATGAACTCACACAAATTAATATTGAATACATTGAAAATGAGTTTTATGTTAAACTGAAATGAGTATAAAACCCAAAATGAATGAGCATACACTAATGAACTTTCAATTTTTTTTTATACTCATTTTGTGTTTAAGTATGCTCATTTGGTATTGCTTTACGCTCATTTGAAAATGTCACACATTTCAAATGTATCATACTACATTATGTTTTACTCAAGTGAGTATAAGTCCAAAATGAATGAGCATACATAAATGAGCTTTTGAATTTTTGATACTCATTTTGTAAGTTACGTATTGCAAATTTTATAATATTGCAAATTTCAAACTATCATACTATATTAGATTCACATATTAAAATTAATTGGAAATGATATAAACATAATTTAAGAGTTTTTTATATACGAAAAGAATCATAAAAAGAAAGCGAATTCAAAGATATGAAGCAGAGAACATTGATGCTCATTTTTTGACTCCAAATACTCAAAAGAACAGGCCTGATGATCAACGAAATTGCGTTGATGCTCATTCAAGAAAAACCGTGTTTTTTACCAAAATTACAAACATGCCATCAGTTATACGGCTGGAGTGTTTCCCGTTCAACTCCAAGAAAAGACTAGAAATAGAACATCATTTTCTTTTCATCAGTGTATTATCTGTTAAAACAAACAAGTAAAAAAAAATTAAATTTTTAATTTATTTTAGCATCAGATATTTTTTCTCTCTTTTAACTCTCTTCTATCTAACGTGTTCGCGGTTTAAGGTTCAATCGGAATTAGAATCAGAATGGCCCGTTTTTTAACCAATATACCATGAGGTTTAGATCGAGAAGTTCACTAGTCCAAATCGGTCCTTTGAAATTTTGGAACGAAAACTACCGGTTACGGTTCAGCAGAATCAGATGGTTCTGATTTGGAACCGTTTTTTTATTAAATAAATAAGTAAATAAATAAATAATTAAAAATAATAATTTTAATAGTAGTTGTTGTAGTAATTGTCCTAACAATAAAAATAATAAATCAGTCTTCACAATTTATAACTAATAAATTGTGATTATTAGTTAGTAATTTTTAATTATTACTGGTTATAAGTCTTAAATGTCACAAATTAGAGTTATAAAAATACATAATTTAAGAATCACTAAAGTAATTTAAAATTACTAACTTCTCAACTTGTACTAGAATTTGGTGAATTAGCCCATATGATTTAAATAGTGCGTCAAACTCCTCCGTGTTATCATTACGGATGCACAAAACCCACTCTAAGAACATATTTTACAATTTTAAAATATTTTTCTTAAGAAAATAATATGATTGAATATGCAAGTAACTTTGTCAAGATTTCTAAATTATACAAAAATATTAATTATTTTCATTTATTTGGAAATTAATATAAATTTGTTCATTAAAGGAGTTTTTGCGCGTTAATAACCACTCCTATAACACAAGGGGGTTTGTCGCTTTTCTTAAATCAGAGGGAGTTAATGTATCGAATTTATATTTCACGAGTGAGTTTGGTGTATTAAACTCCACACAATGTTTAGTACTTTTTGTGTGCTACTATGTGACACTTTCTTTCTTTCTTGTGTTGAATATTATCACACAGGAGTAAAATAGTGTCAAAGTAAGACTTACGAGTATTTTTTTAATTCCTAAAATATAAGTAATTATTTGTGATTGGATAAAAACACTCTTATAGTGGGTCGAGTTTGGTCACTGGGTTGGCACCGCTAATTGCTAGATCAGTGGCCACATCGGGCCGCCGCCGGGCACCATACCAGTGGCCACACCCGTCCGCCGCCGTCGGACTACCTTGGCTATGATGGGTGAACTAGGGGGAAATTGATTATTTTAAGGATATAAATCTAATGTTTAGGCCTATTTAGAGGATACAAAAACATGGATTCCTATTTAGAAACTTTAATCATGTTTCTAAATATAGGAATTGTAAGTTAATGTCATATACTACGATTGACACTAATTATAAGTTAATGCCTCCCGATAAATGGGTAAATGACACATTTCCTTCCGAATTGATTTGTGTACTTCAAATCTCGATTTTGCTGGCTATTAATATATTCAAATTTGTTTATACAGTTATATATTTTAGAATGTTAGATTAAAAACATAAACGTCTTGTTTTTAAATTTGTGCAATTCTAGATTAGATTATTTATTCGAACTAGTAACATGTTCAATACAAGTACTACTCCCTCCGTCCCTATTTACTTAGCCAAACTTGACTTTTCAAATCAACGACGTCTAACTTTGATCGATTATATGTTTATATAGAGAAAGTATTGATAATATGAAAATGATATGAAAATGTTCTTTGTTAAAAACACTATCATAAAAGTATAAAATTATTAAATTTTGCATAAATATATTAGCTTAAATATTTGGTCAAAGTTAGAGGCCGTTGACTTGAAAAGTCAAGTTTGGCTAAGTACATTGGGACGGGTAGTAGTAAACTTGTTATACGTAGATCATTGTATCTTCATATTTCAGTATATGATTTCTACTTTTTTATTGTTGCTGATTTGAGATGCATTTGATTTCCCAAAGCCCAATCTGATATTTTCCCTGATGATTATATTGACTAATAACTTATCAGGAAAAGAAAATTCATCTTGTCTCCGGAGAAGAGAGATCTATGAATGAAATGTGCATGGAGTCTCCATCTTGCTCTACTGCTCTGATAATATGGAAGAAACAGACTATTCGTATTATGCATACACTTATAATTTTTTTTCCCAAAAAAAGGAGATGAGGTCTTATTAGTAGATCTTGAGTAGTTAGTCTTATTCTGGCAATAGTTTGTTTTTTTCCCCACATGGTCACATCACAATATCAAATATTACCGTTGACAATATCTTTAAGGCACAAGCATTTTTGTCGTCTCTTTCACACCGTTTATTGGAATTATTTTTCATGAATTAGGGATTTATTTTCATGCATACCATGCACATTCCTGCATTTGAAGATTCTCTTAGGGAGTATATTATACAGTACCAAATTGACATGTCAGTTTTTATCATTTTTATATAGGGATAAGGCTCAAATTAGACACTATGGTTTCATCAGAATCTCATATTGGACATTAAGGTTTCAAATGGACCAAATTAGACACTATGGTTTCATATGTATCTCATATTTGACACTAAAGTTTCATAATTCAATATAAGTGAGTGTCCCATTTGATCTTTATCCAATATAAGTGAGTGTCCAAAAACTATGAATTGTGAAACTTTAGTATCCAATATACCTGCTGAAAGTTACAAACTATTTTTGATTTCACACATTAAAATTACTAATGATTAATTAAAATAATAATAATAATAATATGATGAAGACTTGATCTGCAGACTGCTTTTTGTTCCTTCTGAGCCACGCCCTCATGGACCTCATGGATTCTCATGATGTATAAAATGGCATAATTATAAAACAAATACTCCCCGTGTCGTGCTACTTTGTGCTTCATATGGCTACAGACCTCATATTTTTATGTTTTCCCATGTATTTGTTTCATTGTGATATGCCGTTTTAAAATATTTAAGTCTTGATGGGTTCGCCCGGTCAACCAAGACTGGCCCCGAGATGCCAGTTCGGCCATTCGGGGACCAGACCGGTCCATCCCTAAAGTCAACGAGGAGATTAAGTTTCTTTATAAAAATAACCAAAATTAATACCATGAAATACAAAGCATGTAAAGTAAGCAATTATGTTTGGATGTTCAACCATTTGATTCATGGTTATCATCACAGGGAAGCATACAATTACTTCTCTGGGCAGAAGAGTAGTAATGGGATTCAAGTTCTTTAAGGGTAGCAGCAGCCTCCTCTCCAACCCCAGCTAATACCCGGTCAGTCTTCTCGGCAAGTTGGTTGAATTCTTCAGTTCTTTGCTCCACATGGTCGTTTAAGGAAGCAAATCCAGAAAAGATGGCTGTTTGTTTCAACTCCGAAACCAACTTTAGCAACGAGTCAGCTGCCTGAACCTGTGTTTATTCATTGAAGAGATCTAGAACAACCACATGAATATTTGAACAACAAAGAAGAAAATCCACTCAAACCAAGCAGGGTTTATATTGTGCCTACAAAACTTCAACTATGCAAAAAAACTTGATCTGGGAAGAACTAGATTCTCACCCGTGCAATGCACGAGATTTTTTTAGTAACTATGTATTATGTATTATTATTTGCTTAAGATAATAATAATAGTACATGATAGTTTTGAAACAAATGCAATGTGTAAATGCATTGAAAGAAAGTTTAATAAATATTAAGAATTTATAAACTAGAAGAGTCAAATCATAATGTTGATGGTAAAAGGACGGACGGTAGTCAATATTACAATCATAACGTATTATCAATTTATCATAAATACTTGTAGTTGTTATCTTAATTTATGCATTATCGTACAGTATATAAATGTGATCATTTTTATTCATAGAATGAAAATATAGCTCCTTATTGGAGTGTACGATTTATTAACCTCTTCATCTTAAGTCTTAACTGTCTCTACCCCTGCAACTAATGTGATGCCCAAAACAGAAGTGGTCATTGGTATGGATGGACTCGGGTCCGGGCCGGGACCGGGCCCAAACCGGGACCGGGCCCAAACCGGGCCCGAACCGGAACCGGACCTCCCCTTCATCATCGTTCGTTACACTGTTAGCATTAAGAGAATTCTCATTGCTGGCTAACACAAGGGCGTTTTCCAATACTGTTTCAAAGGTGATCACCAACCAGTACAAATGATGTTATTTGCGGAAGAGATCGTGTGAGATATTGTTTATATGCTGAATTTGAATGGTATAGCACGCAAATATCATCTCACAGGTGCAGTTAAAATGGACAACATTGTTTGACAGATCAAAGCAATTTTTAATGACCTGGCCCACATAACAGAAAGGTTCAAAAAATTCAACAGATCTGACCCATTATTTTTTACCAGTATCTTTTGGCAGGAATATTGGCTGCTTTTCCCTCTTGCTTTGTATATAGATAAATACATAGATGTATAAACAAGCCCCTGGAGTGGACATAACTTTTCCTCTAAACCCCTATCATTCCAAGTTTTCTTTTTGATCCGGTTACTTTTAAGATTGAACCTATAAGCCTTTAAATGATTAATATTTATGTTTGTATTGAGAGTTGTGTAAAGACTGACTAAGTGAATGGTGGAGATAGGAAATCAATATTTGGAGGTGGGGGCAGGGGCGGCAAAGAATGAATTGTTAAATTAGGAGGCCTAAGCTTCATACTACATGTCTACATTATCCATAAATTACAATTAGTTATACACACAAAGAGATACACGCATGCAGTCTACTTTTCTCAGGATGTATATTCCAACCTAAAGAGCACTGATAATGAATGAGATTCCAAAGGTCACATAGCAATTTTAAAAGGAAAAAGAAGCACGTCAATGTGTATCGAAGTCATAAAGGAAATCAAGTCTCACCATTCTGGATGCTCGAACCTCCATCATGAAAGCTTCTTGGGAATTCCTAACTGGTGGATCATTTACCTATTATGTACATGTATGAAAATCATCATACAGAAATAAGCCCATTGAAGCTCCACATTAACATACCTTGACTTCAGCTTCTAAGTATTTCTATTACGTCTAATATTTAAAAAGGGAAAATCGCATATATGGTCCCTCAGTTATCAACGAAATTAAAATCTCAGACCTGTATTTCTGAGATTGTAAATGTCATCATCAATTGTCCAAATTATTATAAATGTGGTTCTTTAAGTGGTAAAATGTACTCTCGCATATTTCACCCCTCAAAAGAACCACATTTACAACAATTTGGACAATTGAGGGGTAACATTTATGACATTTCTTTGGCAAATTACCTAGAAAATGAGCTCCTTTTTTTTGAAAATCGGACTATTTTTGGGACAAAAAAACTTCTCTTTTGGGATAAGGGAGCAACCAAACAAGCTGATCCATTTGATCTCCCACTTGGTTCAACACAGAAAACAATTCGAAAATATTTGGATAAAGAGCAAATCCATCAATCATTATGGTACTACATTCAAATTTCCAACACCCAGGTTGATAACTTTCAAGCTAACTTCGCGTATGGGAACGCGAGAGAAAAAAAGAGAGAGGGAGAGAGATAGTACCCGAGCAACATTCACAATGAAGCTGAAATTGTCAACTATGCTTCCGATGTCGTTATCGGCTCTCTGCAACAAATTCTTCTGCTTCTGAGCAGCTGCTACGACGGCGGCAGCAGTGGGTCCGCCGCCGCCTCCACCGCCTCTGAGCCCTCCCTTATTCATTACTCCGTATTACTAATTTATTACTCTGTATTAGTGTAATTAAAGCCTATCTTTGATCTTGAATTCAAATAAAACACGATGGGCGATTAGGGTTGCAAAAACATAGATAAAATTAGGTCACATGTTAAGCTAAAGACGACTCAAAGTGGTAAGACTGACAGACTGGTTAAGTGGTAACAATTTCTGGATGCATTAGTAAAAGTTTTAAGATTGTTTCTGAGAAAAATAATTAAAAATAGCCCAAATTTTGAAAAGGACTACATATAAAAAGTTAGCCAAACTTATATACGATAGTATATACACTCGAAGTTCATATAAAAAGTTATCTCAATCATAGTAATCAATGGCGAGATATGACGTGCGTCATATGCACCATCGACATGAGAAGGTGGTCGTTGTCATTGTGTGTCATATGCGCCATCGCTATGTGCTATGAAAACTATGATCTTAGTATCATGATTATTTTTTTTTTCTTTCGCGATTGACATTGGGCTTCAGTCCACATGAATAATATCATCTTCGACCCAATAATTCTTTTTTAAAAGTGAATTTAGAAAAATGAATTATGTTTCCTTTTTTCTTTCACAATCGAAGTACATTGTTTGTCCGCCGAGAGAATCATTAATATGCGAAAGGGTTTGAATTCTGAAAGGAGTGAAAATACCTGATGGAGTATATGGCTCAGGGACCCCCGACCCAAATACTTCCACTATCACAATCAAGCCCAACAGGCCCAGGCGGACCAAGCCCAGCAGGATAGAGCTCTAAGCGGCCCACGATACATGAAGGGGTGCCTTCGGCCCCATGGCCGAAGGCTACCAGTGACGGAATTGGGCTCAGAAACATCATAGGAGAACAAGTCTGGAAAACCATGCCTTCGGCAATTGGAACCCTCGGCACCATGAGGCCCCCGGTACGCAGAGCCTTCGGACTGTCATCTACAGCCGAAGGCTCCCTCCTCGACAGAATCTCCCATCCACATGCGCTGGATCACCGTACCAAGTACAAACGTCGCATCCAACCACCGCATTTAATGTGGCCACATGCGAATGCCAATGCCACCCCGGTTGAGTTGACCCCTCGACCGCCAGAATGCTGACACGTGTCCCTATCTAACATTTATTGCTACTATAAATAGCACCCATTTCCCCCATTGTAAACCACGCTAAATACAACTCAAATACACATTTGAACTCTTTATCTCTCTTATTTACTTGCTCTGACTTCTCTCTAGGTTACTCCCTGCAGTAACCACTCGGATAAACTACCCCCCGGGTACACTGTCCATCAATTGGTGCTCTCGTTGGGAGGTCGAACAATCAAGTAAGAAACCCTCCCCTTCTACTCAAAACACCTATCAAAATGGGAAGAACCACCCGTGCTCAGTCCAAGAACATTGAGGACAAACAACGTGGCCCTCAGTGAAGTCAACGCCCCCAGAGCCTCCAACAAGGCTCCCGAGGGTGGGGTCATCACTGAGCTGGAACAGGCTGCTGTTGACCTGCGCCTTCAGCTTTAGCAGAATGCTCCCGATGTCCGTCTTGGCATCGAAACCCGAAGGAGGGACCGGAACGAGAATCAAGTGAGCCCTCCGGTTCTCACCATTGACGTACAATCGACATTCTCCGCCTTCATCCCAACACTCACTCAAAATCCAGGTGCCTTCGGCACGCTGGTAACACTCCAGCCGCATGTCGGGGAGAACGCCATTCCTCCCCCTCCTCCGCCCCCTTCATGAGCCCTATCCTTCGCCTAGGGAACAACGAGTGGGTCATAGACCAAGATACCACATCCCAGGAGGTCCAATCCCGGGACCAACGTGGTGCGAACAAAGAGGGGCCTCGAACCTCTGCCCTCGAGAGACTCGGAGGGGCGCAAGACCGCCGAGGGGGTCCAAGACCGCCTCGGAGGAAAGGTGCTCCAAAGGCCTCAGGAAAGCGGAGGTTCCGTCTCAAGAGCAGACAAAAGGCGTCCCCCTCAGGACAAAGGAAAGGCATCACTCCATGCCGACGACGCAAGACATCGAATCAACCAGGCTCACTCGGCCCGTGTTTGTTTGCAGGGGGCGGAGGCCCTCCCGAAGGATCACAGGGACGAAACCATTGAAGCCCTCCAACGCCGCCTTGATGAGATGGAGGCCCGTTAAGTGCACACAACCGCTTCCGCCTCCAAGACGGACCCCAAATACACCGCCATACTTGCCAAAATGGAATAGATGCAAAAGAAAATAGCTGAGGGCTCCGGGGAACCCATCATCCAACTTCGGACTAGGACGCCATTTACCCCAAGGGTATTGGCGGCCCAGATTCCGGGAAAGAACCGAGGGCAACTCATCAAGCCCTACGACGGGAAGACTGACCCCCAGGAGCATTACAGCAGATATAAGAACAGGATGATGATGATGATGGTGGGGGCATCGGACGAATATTTGTGCCGTTGGTTCCTCTCCACCGTAGAGGGACCAGCCTACGAATGGTTCAACCGATTGCCCGAAGGCTGCATCGATTCATGGCAGGAACTCACCCAACGTTTCTTGACACAGTTTGCAGGGAGGCGCCGGTCAAGAAAACACTTCTCCCACTTGGTGACGGTGAGACAAAGAAAGGAGGAGACCCTTCGGGACTTCTTGGAACGCTGGAGGACGGAGGCAGATAAAGTTAACGGCGCTGACGATGGGACCCTCGTGACCCTCCTGTACCTCCTTCAAACAGTCCTCCTTGACCGTCACATGTTTATCCCGCCCCGCTGGGACAACAGATATCTTTTTCCCCTCTTTCTCAAGAGCCGCGCAACCCTCCGGCTTTATGTGCCTCCGGAAGTAATTCCTCAGCTCCCTCGGGAATGGGTTCTCCGCCATCCTGATGTAGCAAAAGCGGTCTTTCCAGCCCTGGTGAGACGAGGGCACGTCATCGAAGAGCCTCCACGGGGCGAGTTGTTGCAGGTTCGCGAACCCCTCGGAATTCGCATGCCCCCCCGACAGAGATTGAAGCTTTGAAAAAATAACTCCAGGCTGGGAGTGCCCCCAGGACTTACAGAGATTCAGAAACCCGGCAATATAGGAGTGGCTATTCGGAGTAAGTTGGCAGGGGGCCAGGCCAACGTACCTAAGGTACTCTAAGAGGAAGGGATGCAATGGGAACCGAAGGCCCATCGAGACGGAGAGGATATGCACATCAAAGCACCCCCCAGGCGCCCGATACAGCACGTCGTCAGGCCCCGGTTGTACCACCGTCACCGAAGGCCCTACGTGCAGTTGTGTGACATAGCACTCGGTCGGGTCGGCTCTGGAATTCACCGCCAAGGCAGCAGTATTCAACCACGAATACCCCTCGGGAATCCCAACCGGTTTGCCTTGGTCGGCAGCACCTTTCTTCTTGGGAGCTCCCGCCTTCTTCGTCTTCTTCTTCCCGGGGGCTACCCTGAGAGGTGTCGGGTTCAAGGGCCGGGAGGTGCTGGCTTCACCAACATTGCGTGCAGGGAGGACGTCGACGGTAACCTCCTGCCTCTCTTTCTCCTCCGCTTCCTCGGCAGTTTGAACGGCGAGGGCCAGGTCCTCGTCTTCATTTACTTGTTCAAAGTCCTCAGCCTCGACCTCAGCAACGAGCTCCTTCTGTAACTCCATGGCAACGGCAGAATCACCACCCACCGAAGGCTGCTCACTCGCGGACTCCACGTCTAAGATACTCTCCTCCTCTGCCGAGGGCTCCCTCAATATGTTTTGAGAATCACTTTGCGAAGACATCCTCGAGAACTAGGGGATGAGGGGTTCTAGAAATCGAAGGCTCCCTAAACAACTCTAGCACTTAGCCTAAGGGCGAAAATACGCTAAGGAACTCGAGAACGGGAGGAGCAACTGACCTTGGGAAGTAAGGCTCTAATCGAAGGGTTGTTTCTCTCTCTAGAAAAAATCCGGCAGAGCTTCGCTAACAATGAATCGCATAAGGGGAAAGGCTCAAGCCTTGGGGTATTTATAGGCACCCAAAATCGGGCTTAGGTCCAAAACCGGGCCTCCGGTTACGAAAGTCATCATTACACGCCGCCCCCTTCTGCCAACCGGTGATACCGCCCGAAGCTAGCCAACAACCACGAGCCACGTGGAAGTCCTCTCTAACGGCTACATTTTACACGTTCCATATTCCAACGGTCCTATTGCAAACGGCTATATTTCGAAAACACAGGGGTGCTCTCGGTCGGTACCCCTCATACAACATCACAAGTGCCTTTGGGCTTTTTCCTTCACGAGCCCACGGCTTAACAACGGGTAAGCCCCTCGGGAACCCTCAGCCCTCAATGCATTGAGGGCCAGGAAAACTCGGGGGAGCACACCTTCATCAACTGTCCCCCCGACCACGCAATAAGGAGACCCCTCGGGGACATCAAATTTAAAACCCCTCTTAGGTGGACTGCCTTCGACATACAACAACGGGACCCCTCGGGTGCCCTCATCCCCAGCTTATCAACAGCTAGAGAATCCCCCCGACAACACAGCAACTACCACTTACATTCATCACGCCATCAGACAAAGATAGCCCTCGACGTCAATACTGTCATCCATTTCGAACCAAGGTTTCAATTTTTCGATTCATCGTTAGGGGAATTCGGTGCACTCTTTTTCCCTCATTGGAATTTTTTCCCACAAAGTTTTTTGTAATGAGGGTTTTAACGAGACATCCCCCCAAAATGAAACGAAAAGCGTCGGCCTTCGGCAACATGATAACAGCGGGCACTACTCTACTCCTCTTCACCACATTACATGTGCCTCAAGGTGTGGGGGACTGGAGAACCCCTCCGGGAACCAGGAAAATCAAAATGCTAAAAAATTATTCTCACAAAGCATCAACACCCTTCAGTCCCAAAATATGGGGGAATGAAGGGCTGCCCTCGCCAGAATCGTGTGCAAACGCAAAACCTCACACAGGTTTACAAACTACAACAAGGCAGCATCAGAGAACAAACGCATTTTACTCCTTTTCCCTCAAGTACCTTTCGGCAAAAGGAGTGAGGGACTCCTGATGGAGTATATGGCCCAGGAACCCCCGACCCATAGACTCCCACTACTATAGCGAAGGCCCAATAGGCCCAGGAAGCACAGCAAGCCCAAATCACAGCGCCCCAAGTGCCAAACATCCCGCGACGAACGCGTGGGTGCCTTCGCCCCCCATGACCGAAGGCTTATAAACTCGCAGAACAGCTGTTTTAGGCAAACGAAGGTAATGGGAGAAAACGGCGTAAAAGAGTAGCCCTCGGTACCTAGATCCCTCGGCACACAGAGGCCCCCGGTATGAAGAGCCTTCGGCCGATCATCTACGGCCGAAGGCATCTCCTCGACAGAATCTCCCACCCACATGCACCGGATCAACGTACCGAGTACAAACGTCACATCCAACCAACGCATTTAATGCGGCCACATGTGAGTGCCAGTGCCACCCCGTTGAGGTGACCCCTTGACCACCAGAATGATGACACGTGTCCCTATCTGGCATTTATTACTACTATAAATAGCACCCCTTTTCCCCATTTGTAATCCATGCTCAATACGCTCAACACATTCTCAGCAATATATATTCTCTCTCTTACTTCTGCTTTGACTTCTCTCTAGATACTCCCCGCAGTAACCCCTCGGATAGATCCCCCCCCCGAGTACACTTATCCATCTAATGTGAATTGACTGAAATAAACAACCTACCAAGATTTCAGACTGTGCACATCAGAATTGATGAATAAAAGATTTCGCCCAGTTAAAACTCCATATTAAAGATCTTTGTATAGATTCTTTCAATATGTTCCGAACTGAACTGAACCGAAACCGATAAAACCCAACCTAAAATCGATATGTCCACCCTATCGGAAATGATGGAACAACTACAACAACAATAGGACTAATATTAATAACCATAACACCAACAAGGCAACAACAACCATAATAAAAAACATTAACTTTCAAGCTTGCAGGAAAGATGGAACTAATAGAATCCTACTATATACAAACGGACCCAAACATTAAGAGGCCGCTTGGCAATACTTTTTTCGGCTTATGAGGCTTATCAATCAACTTTTTCACCAAACACGTAGCTTTTTCTTTCGGCGCTGAATTTTGTAATAAGCAGAAAAAGTAAGATTGAAGTTACTTTTCTGACTGTATTGGCTGAAGTTACTGTAGATGACCATTTTAGCTATTTTTACATATAATTTTTTCTTTATTTTATTAATAAAATATATTTTATAATTATTTTTTTCTTAAATCAGCAGAATCAGGCAATGCAGTCACTTGACCACTTCAGCCAGAACTTCACAAATTTCAGCAGAATCAGCCAAATCAGCCGATTTCGGTGCCATCAAATAGGCTCTAAAATGTAAAAGCATTCGGATATCAAAATGAGATTAAAAAAAATTGGATAAAATGGGTCTAACCTGGTCAAGGTAATCAGTCTAGGATAGTGTGGTGCAGTGGTGCTTTGGAATTTGAAAAAAAAAATTACTCCGTATGTCATTTCACATCTGCTATCTTTGTCATCTGAAAAGTGAAGAAAGGGAAGATCGTGATTTAAGTTCAGCTCTATACCCGTAAACTCCTCTCTCATGGGTCTTGAGAGCGGGACATAAGATTGCCGAGTGGCAAAGGAAGGGATCAGAAGCTGTGCAGCAGGCGAGCGGGAGTGTCGGACTGTGGGCGCCGCCGCTATCAACAGTTCAGCTGGGCCGTCAGGGAGAGTAGCCGGGCCGCCAGGCTGACGCAGGCGGCAGATGGCACGATGCGACACAGTGGCGGTGGACAGCAAGGGATGGCCAACAAGGCGACTGGCGGACTGGTGGCGTCTCTGCGGCTTGCGGACTTCACAAAGAAGTAGACGGATACCGTTTCACTTTGTTTGGGGTTTCTGGAATCAGCGTACAAGTGAATCTAAAATTCTGCAGGTCAGGAGTTTTACATTTGGCTATACCTCTTAATTTGACAGTGAATTTTTTTATTCCGTGTAAAGGCTTTTCTGTGCGCACCAATAAGCGTTGGATCTGCAGCAACAAGAATATTATATTTCAACATCCTGGTGTGATGTATCATAAAAGCTGTGATTTTTATTTATGTTCTGAAAATAAAGATTGAGGTTGTTCTTTCCTTTCCTTTTATTTTATTTTATGTTTCTTTGATGAATGTTATATTTCTATCATGAAGATGGATGTCATTAAGTTGCAGCAGAATGATAAAGGTGAGTAAACATTATACTGAGCTAGATATACTTGAAAACTTTGTAAGGAATTCTCTTACATATTATGATACTACAGACTTTTATTTTCTGAAAGTATCATATTCTTTGAATAGTGTATATAACACCTAACAATTTTCAGCGCAAATGAATTTATTTGGCTCAATGATGCCATGAAATTGCTCTTCTATTTCTCCCAGGGCCCTCACCATCAACGTTAGATGAACTGTCCATGTCCGCCGAAGAACTCTAAGCCAGAAGTCCCTATTTCTGTTGTTGCATTTTCTGAACTGGATTTAGGAGCTTGAGTTCACCGAGGGAAGAACTCAAAGCCTAATGACCTTGATTCATTCTTTCTAGAGGAGATGGATGCTTATGAGTGGTGAACCGATCAGCTAGACAATTGTATGGTTGATACTGCGAACGGTTAACAGCCTCTCGCCATGAAATGTCCATCACGAGCAGAAGTTCAATCTGCCCACCAGGTGCTCACTCGCTTGCGAGTGTTCCAGCCTTCCTGGAATCAAAGCTTCTCGCGTATGAAGAGGTATGCATTTGAAAATGTCTTATTACTCCTATATATGTAAAGAAGCAGTTTACAGCTTAAATTTTGACATGAGAATATGAGATGAATACATCCTTATGGAGGATGAATACATGTATACCACGTTCTCAACTAAATTAGACCAATGAATATACAATTAAGTGTAAGAAATAAGTAAGAAATTTATATCGTCAAACTGTAAAATGCATGGAGATATATTTTGTACACTAATCAACTATTTGAAATGACTACAAAAAATACTTCTCCCTCCGTTCCTATTTTATCTTCCAAATAGGTTTGGCACACAATTTAAGATAGTGGTATTGTGTGGTGGAGAGTTGTGCAGGGGAGAGAGAAATGTGTAAGAAATGTTGTGAACCACAAATTCTTTACTAAAAAGGGAAAGTGGAAGTTTTAATTGGAACGGACGAAAAAGTAAAGTTGGAAGTTTTAATAGGAACGGAGGGAGTATTTCAGATGGGGTACAACTTAAGTTGGATTTCTTGTCCAACCATATTCACTATTTCTTGTACAACAGGATAGGACTACCCCGTGCTCGATGTTGAGATATAAGCGTGTAGCTGCCCGGAAGTTGACTGAGTTCCTTGTATTTAGAATCAGGGATGATCCCTCGTTTGATGATATTTTTCAACATATGGAACCTGCTGCTATGATGAGGTTCTTTCCACTCCATAATGCGCTAATAATAATAATAGTATTAATAATACTAATAATAATAATTATAATAATATAATAATACTAATAATAGTTTCTGGGACTGTTTCTATAAATTATGCGGTCATTCTAAATTTCCAATATTTTTACCATCTACTTTCTATCTTTCCTATTATTCAAGGAGTGCCTCGAGTATTTTAATAGGCTACTGGGCGAATGAAGAAGCGATTCTTCCATTGGTTTATGCAATGGGAGCTCGTGCTTTTGGAGTGAAGAGATTTGGCTCAGGAGAGGCTTGTATTAGTAATGTAAAGGTAATCATCTCAACTCTCAAGTATCATTTATGCTGATCAGTGCCAATTCCTTTAGAATTTCTTTTCTCTCACTTTCTCAATATCCTTGATATTATACGTTGATCATTGTCTCTTCGTTCTTAAGTATATCCGTGATTTCTACTGTTGATTGTTTCTGATTTGAGATGCATTTTATTTCCCGAAGCCCAGTCTGATATTTTCCCTGATGATTGTATTTAATAATAACTTTTTAGGAAAAGGAACATGATCTTGTCCCTGGAGAAGAGAGACCTGTGAATAAAATTTGCATGGAGTCTCCATCTTGCACTATCATTGCTGACCTTTCTCAAGTATGTATAGCCACCCACGATTTTGGCTATGATAATATGGAAGATGTTGAGTAGTTAGACATAGTACACTTTCTGTGTTAACACTTCCTATGCAGTCTTATTTTGGCATTTGTTGTGTGTTTTTTCCCACATCAAATATTACCTTTCACAATATCTGTAAGGCATAGGCATTTTTATTGTCTCTTTCAAATCATTTATTGGAAATATTTTTCATGATTTTTGGGCTTTGTTTGCAATTTTGCATGCATACCATGCACATTCCTGTATTTGAAGATTCTCTTAGTATAGTATACCAAATTGCTGCCAAATTGACCTGTCAGTTTCACCTTGTGCATTATTATAAGTATGGAAGAATTTATTTTGTTTTAGTTTGTTTGGTTAAGCTTTTAAGTTAACCCATGCTGGATGCTTCGATCAAGAAACTGGCTGACCAATTAATAAAGTTTCCAGAAGCAGTTCTCCTGGCGGAAGAACTCCTGGAATCTCTGAAGGATGCTGTTCCGTTAAGACTCCCCCCATATCTCCACTATCTTGAAAGGCATAGATCTGCAGCACTAGGATTTTGGTTTGCTCCTGTCATCATCCTGCACCTAATTAAGGAATTGAAAGAGGTATTTCTGGTTTCTTCATGTTTATTTCTGCTAAAAAACCACTCTATAATTGATTAGCATCCTTAACTAACCCTTCATTTAACAGTCCACTGCACTATTCAACACTCTTAACAAGTACTCCCTCCGTTCCGCAATTAAGTTACCACTTTTCTTTTTGGGCAGTCCCTAAATTAAGTTCACACTTTCTTACTTTCCTTATTTGGCAAATTATCTACATCAAAACAGTGTCAAACAGTGCAAAACAGTGTCAAACAGTGTTGGAACAGTGCAAAATAGTGCACTCCACAGTAAAGTCAAATTTATTTTCTTAATATGTGTGAAGTCAAACCGGGAAGTTAATTGGGAGACTGAGGGAGTATATAAAGGGAGCACATCTTTTACGATGTCAGGAACGAATGACTCGTATACAAAAAGATCCCTTGCTGGGAATCTGGGATTGATTCTTGAGAGCGATAATGTTATTAAGATAAGGTTTGTATATGCCACCCCTGCCCGCCAAGAAATGCATGATTTATCATGTTGTGGATTTATTGATGCTCTCTCTAAGATAGGATGAAATGTGATTGGTAATTGATAGTTTGTTAGGTTATGTTTCAAGTTTCATATGTCGGTTTGTTGACCAAACTTGTATTAGATCAGTCCCCAAAAAATCACGTTTGACCAATGTGTTTATTGTACTTTTCGTGTCATACAAGTGTACAACTCTCATAAATCATGAACCATGTTTATTTCTTTCAAATCTATTTGTTGGATCAAGTATCCTTAACCTATTGTGTGCGCCTTTTTTCACATTTTTGGCGAATTACAAGAAAAAATGTATGGAGTATTTGTTTGGTTAAAGTTGATTCTTCTTTGGAGACAAAAAGTTCTTGAACCATGACTCTTGTTTACTGGACATGAGAGAGTAGTGGATATGCAAATGACAGAAGATCTGACAAAATTGTTTTTATGCTCTAGCCCACTGTTTTAGTGTATTACATGAAATGGATGTATAGACCCTCTAGCCTTGGCATGTCTTTGCTTTTGAAACACATGTGAGAACATTTATATACATACATTAATTGGTCTTCTTTCTCAATTCTGAATTGCACATTGGTGTTGCAGCAACGTTTTCTCCATTAAGACAATTATCATCATTAGTTTCATTACTGATATGTACTTTATGTTTTCGTTTTTTAGGGGAGCCTTGAGTATTTTATTCGGATACTGGAGTGATAGTGACGTATCTATGCTGGTTCCAATGTTAATTTCTCTAAAAAATAGAAACGAGGCATTTGGTGATGTTGACTTAATGGAAGAGAATGTTGAATATCTATATTATTTTATTCGGATACTGGAGTGATAGTGACGTATCTATGCTGGTTCCAATGTTAATTTCTCTAAAAAATAGTAACGAGGCATTTGGTGATGTTGACTTAATGTGGAGGTACTGTTCTAGTACATGTTTTGTGACAATTTTGAAATGCCGAAGCAAACATTTGATGCTTTAGAACTCCACTACCCCTCTCAAAATATTTCATTTTGGTTACCTAGAAGTTTCGTCTCTGAACTGTTTGAGTTAAAAATATTTTTTCTTTTTGATGACCAGGATTTGAAGAATGTGCTAGCTGATAACTACTTTGAAGATTCGGTGGAGTATACAGATCTATTTGTAAAGGTAAATTATACGCAATCATGGCTTCATTATTTTGGCACATTATATTTCTATGAAATACCATATCAATTAACAACAAAGAACTATCTGTAATCAACAAGAGTCCGAAATCTGTCAAAAAGGACATCAACTCCAAAATAGGCAGCTTGTTGTTATCTCTGAAATGGTCTCACTCACTAGAGAAGAGGATCACTGCCTTCTGTGTGCTTCTCCCGGGTGATTACCCCTGTTGCTTTGACATCTTTTTGAGTAATATGGCAGTTACAAACCAACCAAAGAAAACAAAACTCCTGCCCTTCAATTTCTCCAAAAAGGAGCCAAACAAGCTAGTACCCACGTGATATTCATTAGTGGGCCAATAAAGAGACAAATCCAAAAATGAACCCATACGGCCACTATACTTTGGAATATAACCAACTAGCTCCTTTCCACATATATTTATATTTTTAATATAAATGTAATTTAAAAATAGTGAAGAAAAAATTGTTGGCCGGACCCATACTTTACAGGATTATGATTGACAGGTGTAAACTTATGAGAAACAAATGTGCCTATATTTGTCCACGTGTGTGGATGGATAAACAATGACCGTCCTGTTTATTTATTTTATTTATTTAAAGGCATCAATGCATCATAAAATGATGACCACCCGCAAGAGAAAAGGGTGTTCCATGCACGGAGCGGCGATAAACAGAGGGTAATCGAAGGGACTAGGATTGTGGAGGCGGATGCAATAACAAGTGTGTTCGCTTCAAAGGTATTTGCTTCATAATAAAATCATAATAGCAATACTGTGTAGTGAGTATCATTATCAAATCAAATGATAAAAACTCTTTCCTTTTGGAGATGTTTTCGCCAGAACGATGGTTAATTGCTTTTTTCGTTAATTGGGATTGTTTCAGCTTCTTCCAAAAATCCCAACGTATAGTTTACTGTACATACTAAAGCTAGATAGATCCGTACACATATCAAACCTCGAGTGTTTTACAATATCCTGAGATTTGGTTCAGCACATTTACTAACAAACAAACAAAACTCTTTTCATTCTCCAATTGCGTGTAAGGCCAACAATGATGGTTGCCTTATGAATAAATCCAACAATTTTTTTACATTGACCAGTATAGTAGCAGGAGAATCTTGAAGCAAGCCATATGATGTTGGTTCATCTCCAATTGTAAGCAAATCATCCCCATTTTCATATATCTTTCTTTTCTCCCTTCAGAGCTTTAAGGAAAACACTTGTACAAAGCTTTAGCCTGTGGACTCGAATCTTCTTTTCCTCTAGAAGCACAAAGAACAACAATTACAGTATAAGAGGAAGGAATCAATTGCTATTGTCAATTTATTTACCTGGAGCTGCATAATACTCTAAGCCATTACGAAACAACCCCATCAAAACCATGCATGAAACATATATACATATTTATAGAGTAGTAAAAACATAAAACTAATTCCAACAAAATTACCTGATCTATTTCAACCTTGAGCTTTCACCTGTTATAAAAAATTATATAAATTAATTTATGATGCTTAGTAAAATATAATACGAATTAGTTGTAATTACAAAAATATATACCTCGATATCTTGTCGTTTTTTGACCTCCTTCCTTTTTTGGATTTGATTTCCCCCTAGAACTTCTTTCGTCATCGGTCTCAGACCGTTCCTGCTTAATGATCCCAACATACTCTTGTACGTCTCCAATTGTAGCAAACAACATATTTTCTGCTCCAACTTTTATGTTGTAATTCGCACTTTTAAATTCAAACTATCTCTTACTCCTGATATGCTTCCCTCTTTGCTATTTTGAATAATAATCCGACATTTTGTTCCATTTATCGACCACAGTATCCATCCAAAACTTATCACGGTCTGTTAGAACCATGTTAATACCTCAGAAACACCCCCACTTTCCTCCAATTGTGTATAATGTGCTCTCTAATCGAATTTGATCTCGTTGCTTCGCAAAAAATCATTATGATTATGATGAGACTGGCTGCTATCTTTTTTCGATGCATACTTAAATCTACATTCATTTTTAGCATTGATAAAAAAACTATCAAGTTGATAACATCATTCTTTGCTTTTGGAATCTCATCCAGTGAAGCAATATTGGATGCACTTAGTAAACTCCTGTGAGAAATCGTTATTGGCAGTGCACTAGAATCACCTATGTCAATTTGGCTCTCTCCTAGGTTAAACCAATCCCTAGCACTATTTCTAATACCAATCAAGTAGATGTCGTGATAAACTTACCCATACAATTGTATTCTCTTGTATTCTGTTCACAAGAAAAGTTCACATGTATTTATTTTCATTTTTTTTTTCATTTGCAAGAGGTTTAAGGAGTACATTTATATTGACAATTCTCCTTCCAACCTCTAAGATATCTCGCCAATCAGTTACAAAAGCACCACAACCTTCTGTAGCACGGGAAACATCAAAAGTAGACTCTTGCTCAAAAGAATTTGGATTATTGAGATTCTGCGAATAATCTCATTTCAATTTAAACTAAATCAGTGCACTAACAACATTAAACTTTCACCAATTACCTTATTGTGAATACATTTTATATGTGTGGGCAACACTTTGAAATACACGTATATATAGTGGAAAACCGTACGATTCAGTTGAGTCCTTTGCCTTTAGGTCCAACAAAAAAAAATTTCAAAATTCGGGTCCAAAAGTCATAAAAAAGGTCAAACATGACATTTTGGGGCTGAGGAGAGTGGGAGAGGGTTTGGTATACTTTCTAATAAATTACAAAAGTCTAACAAATATTACTACACAAAGTTTCATACCAATTAAAAACTGCATGAATGAATGATTTTCCTAAGAGCATAATAAATTAGAATAAAATCCTGAAAGTTGGAAGGAACACTTTCCTTATTTCTTGAAAGTGTGGAACAATTCAAAATTATATATGAACAAACACACACATATAGGCAGGCACGTACTAAATTACTAATCAATATACCTCTTGTTTATGATCCATTTTCTTGGTCAACAGATGTAACATGTCAGACAATATAATGTAAAAAAAAGAATGCTGATTAAACATGCTTCAAATTGAATAAATTTGTTTTTATTTATAAAAACTATACAACTTGTACTCCAGGCTTTGACAAGAAAACTAATAACAGTGTAGGCAAAATACTAGGTTTGTACTTTGTAGTGAATGTTTTAACCATCTGATGCACGTTTTATTAGTAAACTAATGTTGAGTAACTCTGTCTCTGTTTTCATGTTATAGGAAAATGCTTTGTAGTGAATATTTTAACCATCTGATTCTACTGATTTATGAAAAAATTATATTTAAAATACTTGTTGTTAATAAATAAAATAAAAAAATATATGAAAAAGGAGCTAAAATGATACTTTACAGTAACTTCAGCCAATACAGCCAGAAAAGTAACTTCAACTTTACTTTTTCTTATTATTACGCAATTCAGCACTGATTTAGTTTATGATCCAATCACGAAAAGGTAATTGGAATGAGATTATTTGCAGAATCTCAATGATAAAAAATTCTTTTAAACAAGAGTCTACTTTTGATACCACCCGTGCTACAGAAGGTTATGATGCTTTTGTAACTGGTTGGCGAGATACCTTAGGGGTTGGAAGGAGAATTGTCAATATAAATGTACTTTCTAAACCTCCTGCAAATGAAAAAAATGCAAATACATACATGTGAACTTTTCTTGTTAACAAAATGCAAGATAATACAATTGTGTGGGTAAGTTTTAATACTACGACCGGTACTTGATCGGTATTAAGAATAGTGTTGGGGATTGGTTTAGCCTAGGAGAAAGCCAAGTTGACACATGTGACTCACTGCACTACCAATAACGGTTTCTCATGAAAGTTTACTAAGTGCATTCAAAATTGCTTCATTGGATGAGGTTCCAAAAGCAGAGAATGATGTTATCAACGCGATAGTTTTTTTAATCAAAACTAAAAACGAATGTAGATTGAAGTATGCATCGAAAAAAGATAGTAGCCAGTCTCATCATAATCATCATGGTTTTTGCAAAGCAACCAGATCAAATTCAATTAGAGGACATATTATGCACAATTAAGAGGAAAGTGGGGGTGTTTCGGAGGTATTTAAAGACATGGGTTCTAAGTGACCGTGATAAGCTTTGGATGGATACTTTGGTCGATAAATGAAACAAAATATCAGAGATTCTTATTCAAAATAGTAAAGAGTGGAGCATACCAGGAGTAAGAGAGTTTGAATTTAAAAATGCTATGTTACAACATAAAAGTTGGAGCAGAAAATAGGTTGCTTGCTCCAGTTGGAGACGTACAAAGGGAAATTGAGATCATTAAGCTGGAACGGTTCGAGGCCGATGGAAAAAGCAGTTCTAGAGGGAAATCAAATAAAAAAAAGAGATAAAAAAACTGCAAGATATCAAGGTATATATTTTTCAAATTTTGTAATTACAACCACTTCGTATTATATTTTACTAAGCACCGTAAACTAATTTCTATCATTTTTTAATAGGTAAAAGCTCAAGGGTGAAATAGATCGGGTAGTTTTTCTAGGAATTAGTTGTGTTTTTCCTCTACAGTAATGTATATTTGTTTCATGCATGGTTTTGATGGGGTTGTTTCGTAATGACTTAGAATATTTTGCAGCTCCAGTTGACTAAATTGGCAATAGTCATTGATTACTTCCTCTTATACTGTAATTGTTTTTTGTGTGCTCTAGAGGAAAAAAAGATTTGAGTCCACATGCTGAAGCTTTGGCTTACAATAAATCGTTCTGGCGAAAACATGTCCAAAAAGAAAGAGTTTTTATCTTTTGATAATGATACTAACTTCACACTATTGCTATTATGATCTTATTATGAAGCAAATACCTTTGAAGTTTCACCCAGAAGCGAACACACTTGTTATTGCATCAACCTGCACAATCCCAGCCCCTTCGATTACCCGATGCTTATCGTCGTTCTCCGCAAGGAACGACCCTTTTTTCTTGTGGGTGGTCATCATTGTATGATGCCTTTAAATATATAAAGCATGCGGGTCATTGTTTATCCATCCACAAATGTAGGCACATTTGTTCCAACTTCAGGAGTTTGTAGGCAAAAATCATAAGGCACAAAATGCTAATTCATAGTGGGTCTACAAAAAATAACTTTAGTTGAATCGATTTTATTTTTCCTATAACCGAAGTGTCGAAGAAATTGACTCTCTCCTACCGGTAGGAAAAGGGGCTACAAGGGTAAAATAAATCTTGCAGCTGACTGTACCGTGCGCACAGTTCGGGCTTTTTGTTCGTTGTGTACTGCGCGTTGTCCCTCGGATCTCCGCCTCCACCTTGAATCTCATCTCTTCCTTGCCGATGGCCTTCGCTCGTCTCTTGGATCTGCGCTAGGCATGGACTCGGGCCGGGCCTAGGCCCGGTCAGGCCGCCGGTTTGTAACTCATGGCCCCGGGACCGGCCCGAGGTTTGGACGGGTCCGGTTCAGGCCGGGCCACCCGCCCGGGTCACGGGTCGGGTCACCCGCCAGGCCGGGCCGGTTAAAACCAATTTTTTTTTATAATTTATACTTTATAGTTTATACAAGTATTAAAAACAAACTTCAAGTGCATTTATTTGAAATGAAATAGGAACTACATTTAAAAATTAAGAGAAACATATAATATGAAATACATTTTGTAAATTGTAATCAATCGGAACTTCCCGCACCTCCCGATCCTTTGGTTTTGTCACATGACCTAATATGCTTCATTGACATCCTGATCTGCCTGGAACCCCCATGCTACACTTTTTCCCGCATCATTTGCAAGTTGCGTATCACATCCCGATCCTCGGGTCCTGCTTATCAAAATTATACCGTATAACGGTATATTGACTTTCCATCTTAAAAATGGTAGATATAATAATTCTACAATAGATGGAGATGAAGATGGAGAATGAAGATTAGAGATTGGATGTTGGAGAAGATGTGTATAAAAATGTTAGAAAATAAGAGTATTTATAGAATTTTTTGTACCCCCACCTCCCACCCTCAACGGCTCTATGCCTCTATTGATTCAAATTTCGAACAACCAAACTACCAAAGTGGCTATATAGCCGTTTGGGGCTTTTGATTTCAATTTTTTTTGTATGTTTTAGTTTGAGTAAATTACATAATGTAAAATTAATTGATTAATTTTATGAATTCAGTAAAAAATGCTACATATAAAAAAATGAACGGCTATATAGCCGTTTGGGTTGTCCCCAGCCCACCCCAACGGTCATCTTTGGCCCAAAAGATTTTTTTTTTAAATATAGCCGTCGTGACCCGGACCCGGGCTTGACCCGGCCGGGCTGGGTCACATTTTGCATGAACCGAGCCCGCCCTCGCTTCCCCCACTGGTTCGGGTTCACACTCGGTCCCGGACCGCCAGTCCGGGCCGGTCCAGGGCCCGCACAGTAGTGGGACGGGCTGGGTCACGGGCCGGGTGGCCTGAACCGAGTCCATCCCTAATCTGCGCACGACGATGGAGGCTATGGATGGGTTGCGCAGATGCAGTGAAGATTGCTTCGCTCTGGAGGCTATGGATGGATGGATTGCGTAGATGCAGCGAAGATAGGTTTTGCGCGCTCTGTTCCCTCTTTCCTTTCCTCTTTCTATTTCTCTTACACTTATTTTTGAGTTTGGTAGCTTTTGGGTTAGGGGAAACCTAAGTTGTACGTGGTTTTAAAGATATGAGCATACATAAATAAAATTTTGAGTATGGTAGAGATTTTAAATGGGTCTAAAAGAAATGAGTATACGCCTAAAAGAAATGAACTCACACAAATTAATATTGAATACATTGAAAATGAGTTTTATGTTAAACTGAAATGAGTATAAAACCCAAAATGAATGAGCATACACTAATGAACTTTCAATTTTTTTTTATACTCATTTTGTGTTTAAGTATGCTCATTTGGTATTGCTTTACGCTCATTTGAAAATGTCACACATTTCAAATGTATCATACTACATTATGTTTTACTCAAGTGAGTATAAGTCCAAAATGAATGAGCATACATAAATGAGCTTTTGAATTTTTGATACTCATTTTGTAAGTTACGTATTGCAAATTTTATAATATTGCAAATTTCAAACTATCATACTATATTAGATTCACATATTAAAATTAATTGGAAATGATATAAACATAATTTAAGAGTTTTTTATATACGAAAAGAATCATAAAAAGAAAGCGAATTCAAAGATATGAAGCAGAGAACATTGATGCTCATTTTTTGACTCCAAATACTCAAAAGAACAGGCCTGATGATCAACGAAATTGCGTTGATGCTCATTCAAGAAAAACCGTGTTTTTTACCAAAATTACAAACATGCCATCAGTTATACGGCTGGAGTGTTTCCCGTTCAACTCCAAGAAAAGACTAGAAATAGAACATCATTTTCTTTTCATCAGTGTATTATCTGTTAAAACAAACAAGTAAAAAAAAATTAAATTTTTAATTTATTTTAGCATCAGATATTTTTTCTCTCTTTTAACTCTCTTCTATCTAACGTGTTCGCGGTTTAAGGTTCAATCGGAATTAGAATCAGAATGGCCCGTTTTTTAACCAATATACCATGAGGTTTAGATCGAGAAGTTCACTAGTCCAAATCGGTCCTTTGAAATTTTGGAACGAAAACTACCGGTTACGGTTCAGCAGAATCAGATGGTTCTGATTTGGAACCGTTTTTTTATTAAATAAATAAGTAAATAAATAAATAATTAAAAATAATAATTTTAATAGTAGTTGTTGTAGTAATTGTCCTAACAATAAAAATAATAAATCAGTCTTCACAATTTATAACTAATAAATTGTGATTATTAGTTAGTAATTTTTAATTATTACTGGTTATAAGTCTTAAATGTCACAAATTAGAGTTATAAAAATACATAATTTAAGAATCACTAAAGTAATTTAAAATTACTAACTTCTCAACTTGTACTAGAATTTGGTGAATTAGCCCATATGATTTAAATAGTGCGTCAAACTCCTCCGTGTTATCATTACGGATGCACAAAACCCACTCTAAGAACATATTTTACAATTTTAAAATATTTTTCTTAAGAAAATAATATGATTGAATATGCAAGTAACTTTGTCAAGATTTCTAAATTATACAAAAATATTAATTATTTTCATTTATTTGGAAATTAATATAAATTTGTTCATTAAAGGAGTTTTTGCGCGTTAATAACCACTCCTATAACACAAGGGGGTTTGTCGCTTTTCTTAAATCAGAGGGAGTTAATGTATCGAATTTATATTTCACGAGTGAGTTTGGTGTATTAAACTCCACACAATGTTTAGTACTTTTTGTGTGCTACTATGTGACACTTTCTTTCTTTCTTGTGTTGAATATTATCACACAGGAGTAAAATAGTGTCAAAGTAAGACTTACGAGTATTTTTTTAATTCCTAAAATATAAGTAATTATTTGTGATTGGATAAAAACACTCTTATAGTGGGTCGAGTTTGGTCACTGGGTTGGCACCGCTAATTGCTAGATCAGTGGCCACATCGGGCCGCCGCCGGGCACCATACCAGTGGCCACACCCGTCCGCCGCCGTCGGACTACCTTGGCTATGATGGGTGAACTAGGGGGAAATTGATTATTTTAAGGATATAAATCTAATGTTTAGGCCTATTTAGAGGATACAAAAACATGGATTCCTATTTAGAAACTTTAATCATGTTTCTAAATAGGAATTGTAAGTTAATGTCATATACTACGATTGACACTAATTATAAGTTAATGCCTCCCGATAAATGGGTAAATGACACATTTCCTTCCGAATTGATTTGTGTACTTCAAATCTCGATTTTGCTGGCTATTAATATATTCAAATTTGTTTATACAGTTATATATTTTAGAATGTTAGATTAAAAACATAAACGTCTTGTTTTTAAATTTGTGCAATTCTAGATTAGATTATTTATTCGAACTAGTAACATGTTCAATACAAGTACTACTCCCTCCGTCCCTATTTACTTAGCCAAACTTGACTTTTCAAATCAACGACGTCTAACTTTGATCGATTATATGTTTATATAGAGAAAGTATTGATAATATGAAAATGATATGAAAATGTTCTTTGTTAAAAACACTATCATAAAAGTATAAAATTATTAAATTTTGCATAAATATATTAGCTTAAATATTTGGTCAAAGTTAGAGGCCGTTGACTTGAAAAGTCAAGTTTGGCTAAGTACATTGGGACGGGTAGTAGTAAACTTGTTATACGTAGATCATTGTATCTTCATATTTCAGTATATGATTTCTACTTTTTTATTGTTGCTGATTTGAGATGCATTTGATTTCCCAAAGCCCAATCTGATATTTTCCCTGATGATTATATTGACTAATAACTTATCAGGAAAAGAAAATTCATCTTGTCTCCGGAGAAGAGAGATCTATGAATGAAATGTGCATGGAGTCTCCATCTTGCTCTACTGCTCTGATAATATGGAAGAAACAGACTATTCGTATTATGCATACACTTATAATTTTTTTTCCCAAAAAAAGGAGATGAGGTCTTATTAGTAGATCTTGAGTAGTTAGTCTTATTCTGGCAATAGTTTGTTTTTTTCCCCACATGGTCACATCACAATATCAAATATTACCGTTGACAATATCTTTAAGGCACAGGCATTTTTGTCGTCTCTTTCACACCGTTTATTGGAATTATTTTTCATGAATTAGGGATTTATTTTCATGCATACCATGCACATTCCTGCATTTGAAGATTCTCTTAGGGAGTATATTATACAGTACCAAATTGACATGTCAGTTTTTATCATTTTTATATAGGGATAAGGCTCAAATTAGACACTATGGTTTCATCAGAATCTCATATTGGACATTAAGGTTTCAAATGGACCAAATTAGACACTATGGTTTCATATGTATCTCATATTTGACACTAAAGTTTCATAATTCAATATAAGTGAGTGTCCCATTTGATCTTTATCCAATATAAGTGAGTGTCCAAAAACTATGAATTGTGAAACTTTAGTATCCAATATACCTGCTGAAAGTTACAAACTATTTTTGATTTCACACATTAAAATTACTAATGATTAATTAAAATAATAATAATAATAATATGATGAAGACTTGATCTGCAGACTGCTTTTTGTTCCTTCTGAGCCACGCCCTCATGGACCTCATGGATTCTCATGATGTATAAAATGGCATAATTATAAAACAAATACTCCCCGTGTCGTGCTACTTTGTGCTTCATATGGCTACAGACCTCATATTTTTATGTTTTCCCATGTATTTGTTTCATTGTGATATGCCGTTTTAAAATATTTAAGTCTTGATGGGTTCGCCCGGTCAACCAAGACTGGCCCCGAGATGCCAGTTCGGCCATTCGGGGACCAGACCGGTCCATCCCTAAAGTCAACGAGGAGATTAAGTTTCTTTATAAAAATAACCAAAATTAATACCATGAAATACAAAGCATGTAAAGTAAGCAATTATGTTTGGATGTTCAACCATTTGATTCATGGTTATCATCACAGGGAAGCATACAATTACTTCTCTGGGCAGAAGAGTAGTAATGGGATTCAAGTTCTTTAAGGGTAGCAGCAGCCTCCTCTCCAACCCCAGCTAATACCCGGTCAGTCTTCTCGGCAAGTTGGTTGAATTCTTCAGTTCTTTGCTCCACATGGTCGTTTAAGGAAGCAAATCCAGAAAAGATGGCTGTTTGTTTCAACTCCGAAACCAACTTTAGCAACGAGTCAGCTGCCTGAACCTGTGTTTATTCATTGAAGAGATCTAGAACAACCACATGAATATTTGAACAACAAAGAAGAAAATCCACTCAAACCAAGCAGGGTTTATATTGTGCCTACAAAACTTCAACTATGCAAAAAAACTTGATCTGGGAAGAACTAGATTCTCACCCGTGCAATGCACGAGATTTTTTTAGTAACTATGTATTATGTATTATTATTTGCTTAAGATAATAATAATAGTACATGATAGTTTTGAAACAAATGCAATGTGTAAATGCATTGAAAGAAAGTTTAATAAATATTAAGAATTTATAAACTAGAAGAGTCAAATCATAATGTTGATGGTAAAAGGACGGACGGTAGTCAATATTACAATCATAACGTATTATCAATTTATCATAAATACTTGTAGTTGTTATCTTAATTTATGCATTATCGTACAGTATATAAATGTGATCATTTTTATTCATAGAATGAAAATATAGCTCCTTATTGGAGTGTACGATTTATTAACCTCTTCATCTTAAGTCTTAACTGTCTCTACCCCTGCAACTAATGTGATGCCCAAAACAGAAGTGGTCATTGGTATGGATGGACTCGGGTCCGGGCCGGGACCGGGCCCAAACCGGGACCGGGCCCAAACCGGGCCCGAACCGGAACCGGACCTCCCCTTCATCATCGTTCGTTACACTGTTAGCATTAAGAGAATTCTCATTGCTGGCTAACACAAGGGCGTTTTCCAATACTGTTTCAAAGGTGATCACCAACCAGTACAAATGATGTTATTTGCGGAAGAGATCGTGTGAGATATTGTTTATATGCTGAATTTGAATGGTATAGCACGCAAATATCATCTCACAGGTGCAGTTAAAATGGACAACATTGTTTGACAGATCAAAGCAATTTTTAATGACCTGGCCCACATAACAGAAAGGTTCAAAAAATTCAACAGATCTGACCCATTATTTTTTACCAGTATCTTTTGGCAGGAATATTGGCTGCTTTTCCCTCTTGCTTTGTATATAGATAAATACATAGATGTATAAACAAGCCCTTGGAGTGGACATAACTTTTCCTCTAAACCCCTATCATTCCAAGTTTTCTTTTTGATCCGGTTACTTTTAAGATTGAACCTATAAGCCTTTAAATGATTCATATTTATGTTTGTATTGAGAGTTGTGTAAAGACCGACTGAGTGGATGGTGGAGATAGGAAATCAATATTTAGAGGTGGGAGGCAGCCAGGCAGGGGCGGCAAAGAATGAATTGTTAAATTAGGAGGCCGAAGCTTCATACTACATGCCTACATTATCCATAAATTAGTAAATTACAATTAGTTATAGTGTTATACACATAAAGAGATACATGCATGCAGTCTACTTTTCTCAGGATGTTTATTCCAACCTAAAGAGCACTGATAATGAATGAGATTCCAAAGGTGCTGGATCACCGTACCAGGTACAAACGTCGCATCCAACCACCGCATTTAATGTGGCCACATGCGAATGCCAATGCCACCCCGGTTGAGGTGACCCCTCGACCGCCAGAATGCTGACACGTGTCCCTATCTAACATTTATTGCTACTATAAATAGCACCCATTTCCCCCATTGTAAACCACGCTAAATACAACTCAAATACACATTCGAACTCTTTATCTCTCTTATTTACTTGCTCTGACTTCTCTCTAGGTTACTCCCTGCAGTAACCCCTCGGATAAACTACCCCTCGGGTACACTGTCCATCAATTGGTGCTCTCGTTGAGAGGTCGAACAATCAAGTAAGAAACCCTCCCCTTCTACTCAAAACACCTATCAAAATGGGAAGAACCACCTGTGCTCAGTCCAAGAACATTGAGGACAAACAATGTGGCCCTCAGTGAAGTCAACGCCCCCAGAGCCTCCAACAAGGCTCCCGAGGGTGGGGTCATCACTGAGCTGGAACAGGCTGCTGTTGACCTGCGCCTTCAGATTTAGCAGAATGCTCCCGATGCCCGTCTTGGCATCGAAACCCGAAGGAGGGACCGGAACGAGAATCAAGTGAGCCTGATCTGCGCACGACGATGGAGGCTATGGATGGGTTGCGCAGATGCAGTGAAGATTGCTTCGCTCTGGAGGCTATGGATGGATGGATTGCGTAGATGCAGCGAAGATAGGTTTTGCGCGCTCTGTTCCCTCTTTCCTTTCCTCTTTCTATTTCTCTTACACTTATTTTTGAGTTTGGTAGCTTTTGGGTTAGGGGAAACCTAAGTTGTACGTGGTTTTAAAGATATGAGCATACATAAATAAAATTTTGAGTATGGTAGAGATTTTAAATGGGTCTAAAAGAAATGAGTATACGCCTAAAAGAAATGAACTCACACAAATTAATATTGAATACATTGAAAATGAGTTTTATGTTAAACTGAAATGAGTATAAAACCCAAAATGAATGAGCATACACTAATGAACTTTCAATTTTTTTTTATACTCATTTTGTGTTTAAGTATGCTCATTTGGTATTGCTTTACGCTCATTTGAAAATGTCACACATTTCAAATGTATCATACTACATTATGTTTTACTCAAGTGAGTATAAGTCCAAAATGAATGAGCATACATAAATGAGCTTTTGAATTTTTGATACTCATTTTGTAAGTTACGTATTGCAAATTTTATAATATTGCAAATTTCAAACATATCATACTATATTAGATTCACATATTAAAATTAATTGGAAATGATATAAACATAATTTAAGAGTTTTTTATATACGAAAAGAATCATAAAAAGAAAGCGAATTCAAAGATATGAAGCAGAGAACATTGATGCTCATTTTTTGACTCCAAATACTCAAAAGAACAGGCCTGATGATCAACGAAATTGCGTTGATGCTCATTCAAGAAAAACCGTGTTTTTTACCAAAATTACAAACATGCCATCAGCTATACGGCTGGAGTGTTTCCCGTTCAACTCCAAGAAAAGACTAGAAATAGAACATCATTTTCTTTTCATCAGTGTATTATCTGTTAAAACAAACAAGTAAAAAAAAATTAAATTTTTAATTTATTTTAGCATCAGATATTTTTTCTCTCTTTTAACTCTCTTCTATCTAACGTGTTCGCGGTTTAAGATTCAATCGGTATTAGAATCAGAATGGCCTGTTTTTTAACCAATATTGCATGAGGTTTAGATCGAGAAGTTCACTAGTCCAAATCGGTCCTTTGAAATTTTGGAACGAAAACTACCGGTTACGGTTCAGCAGAATTAGATGGTTCTGATTTGGAACCGTTTTTTTATTAAATAAATAAGTAAATAAATAAATAATTAAAAATAATAATTTTAATAGTAGTTGTTGTAGTAATTGTCCTAACAATAAAAATAATAAATAAGTCTTCACAATTTATAACTAATAAATTGTGATTATTAGTTAGTAATTTTTAATTATTACTGGTTATAAGTCTTAAATATCACAAATTAGAGTTATAAAAATACATAATTTAAGAATCACTAAAGTAATTTAAAATTACTAACTTCTCAACTTGTACTAGAATTTGGCGAATTAGCCCATATGATTTAAATAGTGCGTCAAACTCCTCCGTGTTATCATTACGGATGCACAAAACCCACTCTAAGAACATATTTTACAATTTTAAAATATTTTTCTTAAGAAAATAATATGATTGAATATGCAAGTAACTTTGTCAAGATTTCTAAATTATACAAAAATATTAATTATTTTCATTTATTTGGAAATTATTATAAATTTGTTCATTAAAGGAGTTTTTGCGCGTTAATAACCACTCCTATAACACAAGGGGGTTTGTCGCTTTTCTTAAATCAGAGGGAGTTAATGTATCGAATTTATATTTCACGAGTGAGTTTGTTGTATTAAACTCCACACAATGTTTAGTACTTTTTGTGTGCTACTATGTGACACTTTCTTTCTTTCTTGTGTTGAATATTATCACATAGGAGTAAAATAGTGTCAAAGTAAGACTTACGAGTATTTTTTTAATTCCTAAAATATAAGTAATTATTTGTGATTGGATAAAAACACTCTTATAGTGGGTCGAGTTTGGTCACTGGGTTGGCACCGCTAATTGCTAGATCAGTGGCCACATCGGGCCGCCGCCGGGCACCATACCAGTGGCCACACCCGTCCGCCGCCGTCGGACTACCTTGGCTATGATGGGTGAACTAGGGGGAAATTGATTATTTTAAGGATATAAATCTAATGTTTAGGCCTATTTAGAGGATACAAAAACATGGATTCCTATTTAGAAACTTTAATCATGTTTCTAAATAGGAATTGTAAGTTAATGTCATATACTACGATTGACACTAATTATAAGTTAATGCCTCCCGATAAATGGGTAAATGACACATTTCCTTCCGAATTGATTTGTGTACTTCAAATCTCGATTTTGCTGGCTATTAATATATTCAAATTTGTTTATACAGTTATATATTTTAGAATGTTAGATTAAAAACATAAACGTCTTGTTTTTAAATTTGTGCAATTCTAGATTAGATTATTTATTCGAACTAGTAACATGTTCAATACAAGTACTACTCCCTCCGTCCCTATTTACTTAGCCAAACTTGACTTTTCAAGTCAACGACGTCTAACTTTGATCGATTATATGTTTATATAGAGAAAATATTGATAATATGAAAATGATATGAAAATGTTCTTTGTTAAAAACACTATCATAAAAGTATAAAATTATTAAATTTTGCATAAATATATTAGCTTAAATATTTGGTCAAAGTTAGAGGCCGTTGACTTGAAAAGTCAAGTTTGGCTAAGTACATTGGGACGGGTAGTAGTAAACTTGTTATACGTAGATCATTATATCTTCATATTTCAGTATATGATTTCTACTTTTTTATTGTTGCTGATTTGAGATGCATTTGATTTCCCAAAGCCCAATCTGATATTTTCCCTGATGATTATATTGACTAATAACTTATCAGGAAAAGAAAATTCATCTTGTCTCCGGAGAAGAGAGATCTATGAATGAAATGTGCATGGAGTCTCCATCTTGCTCTACTGCTTTGATAATATGGAAGAAACAGACTATTCGTATTATGCATACACTTATAATTTTTTTTCCCAAAAAAAGGAGATGAGGTCTTATTAGTAGATCTTGAGTAGTTAGTCTTATTCTGGCAATAGTTTGTTTTTTTCCCCACATGGTCACATCACAATATCAAATATTACCGTTGACAATATCTTTAAGGCACAGGCATTTTTGTCGTCTCTTTCACACCGTTTATTGGAATTATTTTTCATGAATTAGGGATTTATTTTCATGCATACCATGCACATTCCTGCATTTGAAGATTCTCTTAGGGAGTATATTATACAGTACCAAATTGACATGTCAGTTTTTATCATTTTTATATAGGGATAAGGCTCAAAT